AGGGCCTCGGCACATGCGCCTCGACACTGAACGGCCACAAGGACTATGTCCTCTCGGTAGCGATTTCGCCCGACGGACAATGGGTCGTGTCTGGTTCCAAGGACCGCTCGATCCAGTTCTGGGACATGACGACGGGACAGGCCCAGTTTATGCTGCAGGGACATAAGAACTCCGTCATCTCGATCGACCTCGCGCGATCGGGCGGCCTGCTCGCCTCGGGCTCCGGCGACTGCCAAGCTAGGATCTGGAGCTACTCACCGGTTTCTTAGGATGTTCACTTTATTTCGTGATTGGGGGCAGCGGCCTGGATACCAGCTCGGGCCGTCTGCAGTAGAAGGCAGGAGGGAGAGGGTGGAGAGTTGGGAGAATAGGGGTCCGGGGTGCCGTGCCACCGTCGGACCAAGGTATTGTGCACGAATTGCCCAAACGCTGTAGCGGATATCGTAGATTATTGGGATGCCATAGCGTCTCTATTCACGGGAGTGCTGACGGAGGCAGTACTGACGGATTGATGGCGCAAATCGACAGCTCCGTCGGAGCAGTGTTCGTCGGCGATCATGTCAGCGGAGATGTGGACATCCGAGCGTTCGGTGGTCGGTAGCCGGTCACAAGCTCTCAGATGCGAGGGTGTTATCGGCTGAGCTTTTCGGGCATTGTCCAGCCCGATTGATACTGCCTCCCACCAGCTTGCAGTGATCCTTTACGCCGTATTAGAGCCAAAAACGGGGCAGGCAACGAATCCGGCGATACAGCACTTCACTCGAAATGGACCGAGCAAATCCCAAGGACGATCCCAACCAGCCACCAGGAGTTGAGCAGATCCCGCAAAGAAGCCAAGCAAGCCAGAATGTAAGTTCGGATGCCAGATGTGCGAGAACCCCGCCAGGCCCCCCGCCCTGCCCCCATGCCCTCACCCCTCGATTATCCCCCTCACGTCGCCATCATCCCATCTTGACCAACTCTACTCCTCCATCCTCCATTCCTCCCCATCCATCCAACCCCTCTCTCGTTCCTTTCATCCATCCATCCATCCATCCACCACTCCGACTCCGTCCATCCATCCACCCACCCAACCTCGAGTCGGTCCACCGCCCACCACCACCGTCTCGCACTCACTCGCACATCCCAGCCGCATTCCCCGACTGACTGTTGGGCGCGCACTGCATTCGAGCAGCAAACTTAATTTCAGTGCACGCACCGAACGGCATCAAGCTAGCCCAGATTCAGTCCACTGTTCCGGTTGCGCACGCGCCGCCAGCCCGTGTCTGAACCATCACTCACCCCAACCACTCGTCGTTTTAGACCAAGCGGTCCCCACAACTCGACGCCATGCAGCCTCCCGGCATTTACAGCGTGAGTATATGCCATCCCACTTGGCTAGCGCCCGGCGCCCACGCCGAGCCCTTCCTTCCCTCCTCGTGCCATTGTCGCCAGCAATCGCGACCCGCAATCCCATTCGACATGACAGGAGGCGCACACTGGGAAGGTCACCGTGCACGGCCGCTCTCGTCCACTCGCAGCTAGATCGGGTGTGTCTTGTTATTTTTTGCACATACACACACCGCTTCTTTTGCTGGCTCCGTCCCTTCATCACCGTCCCCCTCACGCAGGAGCATTGACGCTGACTCATTTTCCTTTCATCGGATCGCCGGACGCACATCATCAATCCATCTGTCACCCACTCTCATTTAACTTTGCCGAACGCCCATTCCCTGGATTCCTGCATTCGCGCTTTTCCATGCCATGTCCTCGTCGCTGAACCGCGTCGGTCACCACCAACAGCACCAGCGCCTTCCTCAACCGACGGGTCTCTCCGAGTCCGCCGTCCCTCACCAGGCCCTGGTCCGCGTGAAGGAGTGCTTTGAGATCATCCAGAATGAGTTTGAGGCTGTCGCCAAAGACAACAACTCTCACTGGCAGGTGCAGCGCGAGGAGTACGAGCTGCAAAGTGAGTAAGGCGTATTGATGGCGTACTGACGCGTCGCAGTCTCCCAACAGATCAGTGAGCTGGGCCTGATCCGGAAAACGCTGTACGACCTCGAGGCGGCTCATGGAAAGATCAGGGCAGAGTGCGTACCCTTTGTGCTAGGTGATGTGTGTAGCTGACGTACAGGTATGAGGCCGAGATTGCTCGTCTGCGTCGAGAGTTAGAAGCTCGCGGGCCACCCGGTAACGGTCCTGCACCGGCATCTCCTCCTCATCTTCCGGCCCCCGGAGGACCGGATGGTGAGCGCGGAGGTGGCCCCGGTTACCCTCCTTCCCTCCCGGGACCCCCTCTGAGCGGCGCTGATGGAGCGGCGCGCTCACCGTACGCGTCGGGGCCGATTCCGCGGCCAGTCTCCACCAGCCTAGAGCGCAAGGGCAGCGACGCGCGCGCCGTCGTTGCGCCTGGCAGCCCCACCCCTCACCTTTCAGATCTGGACCCCGATAACGTCTCGCGAGAGCTGAAGAAGGAGGGCTCTGACTGGTTCGCGATCTGGTCTTCTCAGACCAAGAAGAAGCTGGACGTCTCGCTGGTGCACTCCCTTGTTCACGACACGGTTGTTTGCTGCGTCAAGTTCTCGCACGACGGCAAGTATCTCGCGACGGGATGCAACCGCACGGCGCAGATCTATGACACAAAGACGGGCGCGAAGACTTGTGTTCTCATGGACGACACGACAACCAGGACGGGCGACCTGTACATTCGCAGCATCTGCTTCAGCCCCGACGGCCGGTTCCTTGCGACAGGTGCCGAGGACCGCCAGATCCGTATCTGGGACATTCAGAAGCAGCGCATCAAGCACCTCCTGCAGGGCCACATGCAGGAGATCTACTCGCTCGACTTTTCCCGTGACGGACGCTTCCTCGTCTCGGGCTCTGGCGACAAGTCGGCGCGCGTGTGGGACATTGAGAAGGGCCAGTGTGTGTTCGACCTCCGTATTGAGGACTTCATTCACAACGAGCAGGGACCGATCGACGCCGGCATCACGTCTGTCGCTCTGTCGCCTGACGGAAAGCTCGTCGCTGCTGGCTCTCTGGACACGATGGTCCGCGTCTGGAACGTCCAGACGGGACACCAAGTCGAGCGTCTTAAGGGGCACAAGGACTCGGTGTACTCTGTCGCCTTCTCGCCTGACGGCAAGTATCTCGTGTCTGGCTCGCTCGACCGCACCCTCCGCGTCTGGGACCTGTCGCAGACGAAGCGTGCGCTCGACTCTGTCACCCCCGGTTCGAAGGAGTCGCTCGAGAAGGGCCTCGGCACATGCGCCTCGACACTGAACGGCCACAAGGACTATGTCCTCTCGGTAGCGATTTCGCCCGACGGACAATGGGTCGTGTCTGGTTCCAAGGACCGCTCGATCCAGTTCTGGGACATGACGACGGGACAGGCCCAGTTTATGCTGCAGGGACATAAGAACTCCGTCATCTCGATCGACCTCGCGCGATCGGGCGGCCTGCTCGCCTCGGGCTCCGGCGACTGCCAAGCTAGGATCTGGAGCTACTCACCGGTTTCTTAGGATGTTCACTTTATTTCGTGATTGGGGGCAGCGGCCTGGATACCAGCTCGGGCCGTCTGCAGTAGAAGGCAGGAGGGAGAGGGTGGAGAGTTGGGAGAATAGGGGTCCGGGGTGCCGTGCCACCGTCGGACCAAGGTATTGTGCACGAATTGCCCAAACGCTGTAGCGGATATCGTAGATTATTGGGATGCCATAGCGTCTCTATTCACGGGAGTGCTGACGGAGGCAGTACTGACGGATTGATGGCGCAAATCGACAGCTCCGTCGGAGCAGTGTTCGTCGGCGATCATGTCAGCGGAGATGTGGACATCCGAGCGTTCGGTGGTCGGTAGCCGGTCACAAGCTCTCAGATGCGAGGGTGTTATCGGCTGAGCTTTTCGGGCATTGTCCAGCCCGATTGATACTGCCTCCCACCAGCTTGCAGTGATCCTTTACGCCGTATTAGAGCCAAAAACGGGGCAGGCAACGAATCCGGCGATACAGCACTTCACTCGAAATGGACCGAGCAAATCCCAAGGACGATCCCAACCAGCCACCAGGAGTTGAGCAGATCCCGCAAAGAAGCCAAGCAAGCCAGAATGTAAGTTCGGATGCCAGATGTGCGAGAACCAAGGCTGCGGAAGGATGACAGCCGCGGAGGGCGTCGTTGGCGCACCCAACTCATTGGTAATGGGATCACTTGGCACGATTGACTCTGGGACTTCATCTGGGACTTGCACCCATTATTCCGCGCATTATTCCGTACAGAGCCAGGAGAGCTCGCATGCGCTTGCACAGTACCAGGGGTCTGAACGACAGTAGTGCTGCCTGGTACTCGAGCCAGCGGCGTCTGCTCCCAGAAGCGCGCGCCAAGCGCCCGGCAGCGCCCAGACTTATTGAGTCTATGCGCTCATGTCCGTCTTCGTGCACGCTAGAATGCCCGTTGATCGTCATTGCGCTGACTGATCTCTCTCCTTCTCAACCCACGACGGTTTCCGAGTAACAGCCCCAGGCTGCTTAACTCTATCGATCACTATCATCTCAGGACTAATACCACGAGAGCGGGTACGAATGCGCTTCATCAACGACACATCTACAACACGAAACATTCCGATGAACAGTGGGCCTGTCGCACCTTGAGAGAGGGGGCAGTACAGTCTACATGGCCAGTTTACCGGTTCCCGCGAAACGTGTCGCCACTCACTTCTATTCATGCACGGCCATTGTGGCAAAGAACGCTATCTTTAGGCATGTACGGGGGCCCACTACTGGGCATTGGGTTCTTTTTGGGAGCGCCAGCGCAGCGACGTGCCCGTCCGCATGCGAGCGCAGGCGAGCGCAGCAACGCACTGACGAATGCTGCTATGCACTAGGCCACTAGGGCGCTGATCGGGATCGGCGCTGCACCTGCTGCACCTGCTGGTCTGTGGGTGTATAAAGCATCACTACTTTCACTTGTGGCCACAGCACAACCACTCTGCCATCAGTCCTCTCTGTCCCGTACTCCACGATCGAGACACACACAGATACAAACACGAAGACACAAGCCTACCATGCTCTCCAAAATCAAGTCCATGGCGACACCGACCAAGTCACACAGAACGCACAAGCGGCGTCCGGCAATCTCAGCGCCGATCCCGATCCCGACCTGCCTGCAGCCGCAGCCCGTGACGCAGGAAGACGCCTGGGCGACCCTGCGCGCCGCGTACGAGGCGAAAGCGGCGCGATCACCCGCAAGCTCTATCTCCTCGGCGCCGTCTAGTTGTTACTCGGGCGACTCGCACGACTCGCGCCACTCGCGCGAGAGTTCCGGGTCGTCCCTCGAACCGACTACTTCTTGTCGCCGGCCACACCGTCATCGACCGAGCGTGCGGCGTGTTCAGATGGCAGAGAAGGAGGGGAAAGACGCCGATATCGAGGCTATACCGACACCCACAGCACAGCACGCTCGCTCCACCTCGGCTACGTCTTGGCAGGTGCTGCACGAGCTCATCGACGACTCGTGCGAGGACGACGCCGCTTCGATCGTCTCGCACACTTCCATCGTGACCGACTACGAGGAGGGACAGTACTCGATCAAACGGGCTGAGGTCGTCTCTCTGTGACCCCTCTGCCCGAATCCAGCGCAAGCCGACCCACTCGACCCCACACTTGCATAGCTTGCATTACATCTAGACACGAATCCAAGCCACTCGACACACCATCACATCCGCTCTCATCAGCATAGATTTCCGTAGTTGTAGCATGCCTGAAGTTATTCACTGTTGTAAGCATACATACAATGCATAAAAAAAGCTTGTCGTCCCCGAGAGCACAGAAAAGAATAAAGCTAATGCATGGCGTGGGCGCAGGGGCGTATGCAGGCGCCGCGCGCAGTCAGGTCTGGATCTGAGGGAGGAGAAGAAAGGGGCGGCGCCACCCTCCCCATTGTCTGCACATCGCGGGCCGTCCCTGGGCTGGCGATCACCAGAAAGCGGACGCACGAAAGTGGAGGCCGCCCCCGCCCGAACATTACATTGCGCAAGGTCCCCGGCCAGACCAGACTTTCGCCACTGTCCCGGGTCGTCCCTCCTCTTTTGCTCCTGGCTCCACTCTTCTCATCACTTTGATACCTTTGACGACACGCACGACACGCATCGCCGCCCAACATGCCCTCCGTCCTGCACACCATCAGGCGGATGACTCGGGACGACGTGCGCTCTTCGCCCCCCGCCGGCCCGGCCCGGGCACCCACCAGGCGGCACGGCTGGATCGCGCCGCCGCTCGCGCCGCGCCCACAACGCGCATCCACCGACTCGCAGGACGAGCATCCAGAGGAGGAGTACACCTTTTTCGGAACGCCGCGCATTGCGTCTTCGTGCAGCTGCACGGGATGCTGGGCCACGCCGCTAGCGCACAACCCGGCCACTGTCGCCGCGACAGTACGTGATCGCAAAGTGAGTCTACCCCTTCCTTCATTGCCTGCTAGTAGTCCACGATGACTCAGCTGACCTCAGCCCCTCCCCTTCCTTCCCACACGGAGGAAGCCAGCCCCGAAACTGGACAAGGACGAGCTGCAAGCCATGCGTGAGGCGTACCCCACTCCTCCGCCCGAGACTCAACCTCATCCGCTTGAACGCTGTGCGTCCCCCGAATCGGTCCACTCGTACGCTGCCTCGCAGGACGAGCAGGACGAGCAGGACGAGCAGGACGAGCCGTCTTCTCTGCCCGACACCCCGCCCCCAGTGCCCGAGAAGGACGACGTGCAAGCTGTGCGAGCGCAGTACGAGCCCGTCTCCGCCGCCGAGCTTAAGAGCCTGTACGACGAGATCTGGCTCAGTCTGCCCGATGATGCCGACACATCCCTCCCCGCTTCATCGACCGTCTCGACTGCTTCGATCCCAGGATCCGCTGTGCGCTCCCCAACCCCGATCGCGGCCCCTCCCCCACCCTCCCCCGTGACGTCGACCTCGGGCTGTGCGTCGTGCTCCGCCTGCGTCGCGCGCGCTCACTCCCGATCCTCAGTCTCCTCAGTCGCGAGCGCGAGTCTCGCCGCCCTCGGCCGCTCGCCCAGAAGGCCCCGCCGGCCGACACTGAGCTCGCCTTGCTTTGCCATCGTGGATCCCCCCGTTGCCCAACCCACGCCCCGGGTGTCGCGCAGCTCGACGAAGCGCCGGCGCGCACCGGAGGCAGCCATGAGAAGGGTCACGCCCACGAAGCCGAGCGCAGGCCGACGGCCGCACCCTGGAGGTCCGCGTCCGATCGCCTAGGCTCCCCGGAGGTGTATGAGTACTAGGGGAATGGAATGAACAAGGACAATGAATGGGACTATGCTGTTACAACTACGAGATATAATGCCTGTACACGACTATGGGACGGGTCCGGGTCGCGGGCGATCCGGGTCTTAATGCACTACAATGTCGTTTTGCACCTTATTTGGCGCACTTGTGTCGTGCTTGAGGAGCACACCGAGCCGGGCAGTCTAGGTTGCAGTTGTCACGCCGTTATCGCTCAGTCAGTATTCAATCGTTCGAGTACTGTAAGATCAGTGGCCAACAGCTAGGGTGCTGCGGGGCGTCAATACTCTCGTCAGTCATGAGTCCGCTCTAATACACCTAGATACATAGTCTTGTCGCTCTAGAGATCTCGATCCGCTCTTGGGGTGCCCGCGAACTCTGGCAGAAGCGGCGTGTCTCCCCTCACACCGTCGACGCCGACGCCGCCTGCCATCGACCGCTGTCGTTCGCAATGGCGGGGAAACGAGATGTTGGAGGCAGGCGCACTCGCCCGTTATCGCGGGCTCGCTCGCTCGCTCGCTCGCTCGCTCGGGGCTTAGTTGACCTTGGTAAAGTACTTGCTCGTGACGCTCTGTCCGGCGATAAAGTTGAAGCACGAGTCGCCGAGCGAGAGGTACGACTGCGCGACGGAGCGCACTGTCGGTTCCGGGATCTGCTCGACGTCGGGGCTGGGAATGTCAGCTGAAGCGTTTCGGCAGAACAGCCATGGCTCGAGTATTAAGGATACATCCTATGCCTCATCGCTCGATCTCAGTCTTGTCAGACGTCAGACGAGCAGGGGATTGCATGTCTATCGCATAGGTGCAGCCTGCGTAGACCTCGGAGCAGAGCAGCTAGCAGCTGAACAGAGCCGATCGCTCACGCGATCGAGCACACACTCACGCAAACCCAGTCGTCTTCTTGACGCCGCTGAGGATGGTCGAGACGGCAATAGCGTCAAAGCCGAGGTGGAAGAGGCGTCCGAGCATGATTGTATCGTTGGTCGTGGTCGTGGTCGTGGTCGTGAGGAAGAAAAGTCGAGTTACGAAGGCGGTTAATTAACCCGAGAGAGCGAGCGAGGAACAGCGGCTCACTTGCTGGTCCGTGGGCCCTGCGCGCCTGCGCTCGCCCTGTAATGCCGCGTCACATACGCGAAACCGAAACCACCGTAGGGACTAGGGACACTCGCGTAGGCCAATCGGCGCGCCGGCGCAGGCTCGGGGCTTCCCCACGGGGCGACGATGCATCATTGTCGTTGCTGCTGCACGCCTGCTCGACGCCGTCCGGGGACGCCGAGACAGTGACGCGCATGCGCGCACGACGCACATCGGCAGGAGGTAGAATGCCGGCACGCCGCCTCGGCTGACGCCGCATGTTCTCCATCAAGAGGCGGTGTAGCGTACTTCCATACGGGGAATGTGTCGCCACCATCTTCGCGACCCAATCTTGGCGTCACTCCATCCAACAACAATAGCCATGAGGGTCTTCAGCCGCTTTCGAAGACCGGATCCGCCCCCGCCCCCTCCGCCATACCAGTTCGCAGACCCGAGTGCGGCTCACCACTCCGAGCTGGCCGCCAGCCTCGTCCCGCCCCCCATGCCGCGGCGGGTATCGCGCACTTCGACGCAGCGCTCCGTCCTCGCGCCCGTCCAACAGAGGACGAGGGCGGGCCTCTCGGCACTCCCCCTTAGCGTTTTACATCGTGTCTGCGAACTGATGCTGGTCGTGCCGAGGGGGTGGGACGAGGACGCCGATGCGGCCAGAGCTAGGGCCGCACTGTACGGCTTGCGAGGGGTCGATCGGCGCTTCTTCCTTGGTACGTACCTTCACACCAACCTGCTGGCAAGTCGACTAGGATAGCTGACACCAGTCATCACCTCTATCCTCCGCTCGCGGCTTTTGCCCGTGTATGCTGGCCGGGTTATCGAGTCCTCGGACCCAATAGGCGCCGGCAGCGGCGATCCGACGGCCGAGAGCGTGTTCGCCCATCGCTCGCGCGAGGGAGCGGTGCTGGACCGCTTCCTCGCTGTGCGCACTGGGTTCGAACAAAGGAGGGCCGAGAGCGCCCTGTCCGAAGACGGCGGGGACGAGGACCACATCTTTGCTTTCCTCCAGGTGAGCCTGGCTCCGAGTCTGACCCGAGTGCGCCCCGGGCATCTGCCCCGGGCACCTCTGGGCGGCAGAAGCGGCGGCGGAAGCTTGAGAGAGACGACGGTAATAGCTAATGCCCAGCCCGCCGCGCGTATTGAGGATCTACTCCTAAACCTTTCCCCGCGCCTTGTTTCGCCTTCGGCGCACGCTGCGCTCGCGCACGCCTTCCCTTTGCCCCATACGCATGTCAGCGTCGGCCTCTCGAGCCGGTGGGTGCAGATATACCTCCACTCCTCCCCTGTGGGAGGGCGGAGTACCGGCCGCACGCTTGTTGCAGAGCTCAAGCGGCAGCCGACGGCTGAGGCGACCGTCGAGCGGATTGGCGCCGTGCTCGAGGCCATCCGCGCCGGACACATTCCGTGGGGCTCGACGAGGATCGAATGACATGGTGGTTGTACAACAGTTTGTGCTATAGTGTAGATCTGTCTATGTATTATACGTCTTGGCGGCCGCATTCATGCTCGCTACGCTCGCTCTCGCTCACGCCCGCGCACTCGCCTCCCGACTCTGGCTCGCGCTGCTCTCCGCCCGCGTGGGCTCATCGCGCTCGCTCCGTTCCCGCTCAGAAACCCACTTCCGGACCGCCTTCCTGCTGTCTGCCAGAATCCAAGCTCGCCTCCACCGGTTCTCCTTCTCCTTGTCAGGCCCCTCGCATCCCCAGTCCTTCCACAGGTGCTGAACCGTCCCGCACACCGGCCAGATGTCGTCCCACACCACGTCGAAGAGCAGGTACCAGCCCTCGGGCATGGGTATCCGCTTTTTCCGCGTTGCGAGCAGAATGGCCGCCACGGCAAGGACGTGCACGGGCTGCTGGGCGTAGAGCGAGGTCAGGAGCGCATCGTTCAGAATGCTCCATGTCAACTGCGCGAGCCCGGGTTCCGAGACCAGACCCAGGATCTGCAAGTAGTTGATCGCGTGCGAGTAGGGCAGGTCCACGGCCATGTTGAACCCGAGCCGCTTCAGCGCCTGAAGCTCGTTGTACTGGATCGCTTCCTTCCCTGTCTGTCAGCTCCGTCACATGCAAATAGCTTACATTCCCAAAAGACTGTGCTGTGGAAGGATGGCACGTCGAACTTGAACCCGGCCCAGAGCGGGTCATCATCCCCCCTCCGCTGTCCGGCGAGAGACAGCTCGACGAGGGATGTGTCGGCCGGCTTGGCGAGGAGGAAACGTATCCGCGCCTGCAGGTACATGTACGTGTTGATGAGATCACGGAGGCGGACGGGCGTCTCGTTCAGCTTGGTCGCGAGGTAGAGGCACGCCACGCTCAGGTCCTGCTGTCAGCTAGCTCTACGTGGAGTCAAGCTCACGTTCACGCCGAATGACAACATGGAGGACACGTAGAAGAAGCGGTGGAAGATGACCTGGGCAGTCGCCATGGTCGACTGGGGAAGGGAGAGCATGACGCCCGCCTCCTGGATGAGCATGCAGCCCGCGACGCGCAGGTCGCCCTCCAGCTCGGCGGGGACGCCATCCTGCCGTGATGGCGGGGAGTAGATCTGCTCCACGCTCGCGAGCGGGTGCGGCGTGCGCGGCATGGGTATTTGTTGACTTTTGAACCTTGCTCCGAGATTGTGGTCAACCTCCACCAGCTTGCGGCGCTCTCGGTATGGTGAGGTTAAGCATCTAGGGCAAGTGAGGGACGGGAGAAAATGCCAAATTGATTTAAAAATATTCGCGACGCCCAAGAGGGCCCTGCTCTCTGTACGGTGGTACGGTGGACGGACCGCACAATGACGGGCCTCGCAGCGCAGGGTCCAGCAAAAGACGGCCAGACAAAAGTTGGTGGCCAACATTGTCCAACGACCTGCCAACGCACGCGTCCGATCGCACCGAATCGCGACAAGACGACCTCACACCTCTGCAACACCCTTTCTTGATCTCTTCCCACCCTCCCCTTCACCACCACCGCAACCATGTCCGACGACGACTGGGGTGAGCTCGATGATGCCCGATGGTAGCTGACAGTCAGATGTTGAGGACGTTCCTTCCTCCTCCTCCACCCCCGCCCCCACTTTCCCGCCTAAGCCCGCTCAGAACAAGTGGGCCGGTGAGGACGAGGTGCGTTGAGCTGGGAATCTCTGTAGCGTAGCTGACGACAGGACGACTGGGATGTCTCGGACACTGAGGAGAAGAAGCCCGCCGCCAAGCCCAAGGCTACGCCGGTTGCGCCTCCCAAGAAGAAGATGACTCTGAAGCAGAAGCTGGCCGAGAAGGAGCGTCTCGCCGCCGAGGCCAAGGCGCGCGGCGACGTCGGAGACGACCTGATGGACGAGCGAACTGAGCAAGACCGCCGGCGCGAGGCGCGTGAGAAGGAGCTCGAGGCGGACCTCGCTGTCGCCGCCGACCTGATGGGAGACATGAGCGTCGACACCGGAGCCGCGCTCAAGGCTGTCGTCGGCGCCAACCCGAAGACGAAGGACGACTTTGCCGAGCTCTCGCGCAACATTGTCGCCGCCATCACGAGCCGCCACCAGTCCTCCGGCCTCTACCCCGCCTTTGTCGAGCAGCTCGCCAAGGACCTCTGCGAGTCCCTCTCCGCCGTCCAGACCCGCAAGGTCTCGAGCGCCCTCAGCGTCCTCGGAAACACGAAGCAGCAGGAGGAGCGCGACAAGGCCAGCGGAAAGAAGACCAAGGTGAGCGCAGGCGCTCATGTCGTCATTGTGGCAAGGGCACGGGCACTGTGAAGCGCCTCCGTGCTCGTGTCCGCTCCATGACATGTCCTATCACACAGCTTCCATGCACGATCTTTGAAGCTGACATACCGCAGGCCTCGAACAAGCCCAAGCTCGGCGCCGCCAAGGCCTTCAAGGACATCGACACGTCGGCGTACGACGACGTCCTTGACGATGACGACTTTATGTAGACGAGCTCCCTGTGCAGCAGCTCGCGGGGCACTGCCCTTCCTTCTTATCACGTAGGCGACATCAGTAGCCAGTGTAGACCCATGTAGAGTGATACATGTCTTTTGAAATATGCTCGGGCTAGCACGTGTCGGGAGATAAGACTGATTGCGAGGGCGAGGTGGCTATCCACTACTCCCTCGCCATAGATTGTGAGCCGCTTCTGCACTCATCCCTTCCAAGCAAGCTCAGAACGGTAGCCTCAAGTAACACAAAAAGGATAGTCAAGTGTGTGCTACTTGTGTTAGAAGTAGGGGGGGTTCCAGAAATTCTCTAAACAATCGTAATCGATCGAATAGAAGGAGTGGATTTGCTTTTTTCAACTAGCAAATGGCTCGACTCGGATAAATCCTCACTGTCAGAGCCTCTCTCCCGAGCATGCGGATAACTACCAGGTCTGCAGCGAGTACTGGCGGGTCCGTCTACGCGGATTTTCGAGTCACGCATGGAAGTCGCATGGCCTATAAGCAGGAGGGTCGAGTAAGTAATCAGACTGACGAGTGACGTCACGTGATGGGCGTTGATGATAACGCAGTGCGGCGATCTGTCCTGAAAATTGGGCGTCCTCTGCCAGGGCCCGAGTGTATGAGAGTGCGCCCTGAGCTCTGGTGTAAGAATACCGAGGAGCCCGGAGATTCTGGAAGCCTCGGCCAGCCAAGACAGGACATTAGGAACAACCTGAGCCTTGCCTTCGCTTGTCGTCACCACCACCGCCGCTCAACATTTCCGGACAAAGCCTCGTATGCTCCACCACTGCTTCGGGCATCAACAAAATCACTCTCCACTCTAGCATACGGGGCAGGGCGGACGTAAGCCATTCACGTCCGCATCCTTCGACCACCCTCTACCTCTTCCCCGGAGTCTAATCCACCACCCATGGCATCCTCGACCGGGCCCTGGGCTCAGCAGCCTCAGCCTGCCCAGCCGCCAACTTTCCGACGCGATCCCAACTCTACACCTACATCTTCCACTTTCTCCTCCATGTCCAACCAGCCGCAAACGCGAAAACGTCACGCGGACGACGACGAGGCGCCGTCGCTTGACCGCACCGGTCCACCGGATCACAAGCGGCGGCGGCCAAACCTCGCCAACGGGTTCCAGGCGATGAGCATCTCGGGCTCGAACCCATCAGACCTGCCGCCGCAGTGGTACTCGCACCCCGGCTCTGCAGTGACAGACGACACGGACGAGGACGGGTTGGAGCCGACGCGCCCCCCGCCTGACGGAGATGTAGGTGTCGAAATCCTCCCCGACCGGTCCCCCTCGCACAGCATCTCCTCCCGCCCCAGCTTCACGCATCCCTCCCGCCCAGGGCTCTGGCACCGGAGCAGCAGCTTCTCGTCCACGTCCCCGTCGGAGGATGACTATGACTCGGACGCAACGTTCCGCTTACCGCACCAGCGCGCGCCGCCGCAGCAGCCGACGTCCGTCGAGCAACCCGAGATCATCACGCCCACGACGCCGAAACACACAACGGGGCCCCCACATGTGGATTACATGGACTCGGCGCACAAGCGCAAGATCTCCCGCGATATGGACTCGTCCCCAGAACTCAGGAGCAAGCGACGACGCCCCTCGACCGATTTCGACATGGACCTGCCAGATTCTCAGCGGGGCAAGGGATGGTACGAGCCAGAAAAGGACCGGATAGTGGTGACGTCTTTGGACTCGCCGTCGCCAGAACCTTCACCAGAGCTGGACGACATGCGGTCTCGCTCGACAACCGCCTCCCCGCCGCCGCGCGACTCGGGTGAAGCCTACAACTATGAGGAGAACCGCAACCTGTCTCAGCCTGGCCAGAACGGGTTCACGATCTCGCCATCGCTGCTGACGCACATCCTGAACGCGCAGCGGGACCAGTTTGGCACGCAGCCCAACTTCTCCGTCGAGCCGGCCGAGCGCGGATTAGTGCTCTACCGGCCTCTGGGCGGGATGCCGGCCGAAGACGTCGTGCGGCAGTGGCAGCAAAAGGCGAAGCGGGCGAAACAGGTGCGGCCCCAGATTCCCGACCCCGATGGACACAGGTTCGAGCTGGTCGACGACGACGAGGACCTCATGAATGGGCCGGCTGTGGTGGGCGTGCCCTCAGATGAGCTGTGGAGTCCCGGGACAGGCAACATTTCGCAGATGGACACGGACATGCCGCCGCCTGGAGCTGGAGGGATGGATATGGAGCCAGACGGAGACGTCGAGATGGGATAGAGCGAAGCATTGTTGTCATCATGTCATAGATTATAATTTGCATAGTATTTAGAACAACCGTAGCACGAGCGTCATGTGAGTTGAGCCAGCGAGCAGTTGTTTTCCTTGTTGTTGGCTCCTTGCGATGTACCGCGGCCGGCAGGTACGCCACACCTGACGCCTGATTCTGTGATCTGGCCACCCAGGTCTACCCGGTCCGGCTATCGCCGATACCCACCGTCGTGTTGCGTTTCATCTCCCCACCACACCTCAAGCACCATGTCTCTCGGTCCCGGCCCCATCGTCGTGCTCGGCGCCGGCGTGATAGGACTCACGACCGCGATCCAGATCCTCGAGTCGCCCGCCCTGCAAGATCGCGAAGTGCACGTTGTCGCGGGCCATCTGCCAAATGACCCGCTTGACGCAACCTACGCCTCTGGCATAGCCGGGGCGCACCACCTGTCCTTCGCGGACGACAACGACTTCAGGCAGAGACGGTGGGATATGGCCAGTGAGTTCTAATTCCTTGGTTGAAGATGGTACGCTGACCCAAGCGTTCCATGCCTTCTCCGCCGAATGGCGCGAACGCGGCGAGTCCACTGGCCTCATGGCGCTGACGCAGACCGAGCTCTGGGTCGGGTCCAAGAAACACCTAAAGATCTACGAGGAGCACCCAGAGGTACGCTGCAGATCTTGCTTCCAGCTAATGGCAGTTCGAGATCGTGCGCCTCGCCGAGATTCCGTGCAAGGTCGACCACGCGATCCGCTTCAAGAGCTTCACAATCACGCCGGCGCTATACCTTTCCTCCTTAGTTGAGCGACTGACGGCCCTAGGCGGGAGGCTGCACCGGCTCTACGTCCCTTCGCTCGAGTACCTGACCTCTCCGCAGTGTCTTGCGCTCTACGGTTCTGCACCGGCAGCCATTGTGAATTGCACAGGATTGGGAAGTCTGACGCTCGGCGGAGTCGAGGACAGCAAGCTATTCCCGACCCGAGGGCAAGTTGTGCGTGTTCATGCGCCATGGATCCGGACGGGCTGGACGCGGCAGGTCGGCTCTCTGGACGGCGGCGAGGGCGGAGAACGCACCTACGTCATTCCCCGGTGTACCGGCGACGTGATCCTCGGCGGCACTCGCGAGATTGGGGACTGGACGCCGTTTCCACGCGCCGAGACCGCGAGGGACATTCTGCAACGCACGCAGGATATCTGTCCCGAACTCGTGCCGGAGCATTTGAGGGTGAATACCTGCCAGACCATCAGGGGACTGCACCACGCCCTCTTCGAAGGAGGGGGAGAGGTGAGGGGTCCGCTGGATGGGATCGTGAAGGAGCACCTCGTCGGCTTCCGGCCTTCACGAGAGGGTGGGACGAGACTTGAGCGCGAGGAGAGGGCTATTGGGGGGAAGAGGGTCACAGTCGTGCATAATTATGGACATGGAGGGGCGGGGTGGCAGAGCTCGTGGGGATGTGCCGTGGATGTGGTTAGTCTCCTCGAGGGGCGGCCGGCCAAGTTGTAGATCTAGTGCATATGAAGTGTCAAAAGCATCGCACATCGCAAGCATCGCATGCATGCACACATCGCCAGCATCGACACAGGCGCCGATTTCAGAATCTCGGACCTCTTGTATTCAGCACACAGACCGCCGCGTCCCAGGCACACCTCGCTTTCCCACGGTCGCCACGCGTCGCCACGATCCACGACAAAGTCCACCGTCGCAGCGTCCACCATGACGCTTCGGCGACAACAAAACCTTCTATCCCATTCCTTGCTCGTCACCGCTGTCCATCGCGCTCTTGCATTCAGCAAACACCACGACCGACTCGGCAGCGACCTCTTCAGCAACCCTGCGCATTAAAACGGCTCCGGCGAGCGAATTCCCCACTCCTTTCAGCTAAAACTACCCTTTCCACACCCTTCCCCCCGCTTCGACACTAGCAACATGGCTATGCCCGGAGGTATGCCCATGGTGGTGATGAGTGAGTCTGCGACGAACGATGGGGGACTGACCAGGAAGACACCGGGCCCGAGCGCCAGACCGGACGTAAGGCGCAGACAGCCAACATTGTTGCCGCCAAGGTAGGGTGATGAGTCACAACGCAGCTGACAGCAGACCGTCGCCGATGTGATCAGGACGTGTCTCGGCCCCAAGGCCATGCTCAAGATGGTCCTCGACCCTATGGGTGGTATTCTGTGAGCTGGTCGAACAGCAACAATTAGCTAACGGACAGCCTGACCAACGACGGACACGCGATCCTGCGTGAGATTGACGTCGCACACCCTGCGGCCAAGAGCATGATCGAGCTCTCGCGAACCCAGGACGAGGAGGTCGGTGACGGAACGACTTCGGTCATTATTATCGCGGGCGAGATCCTCGCGTACTCGCTGCCCCTGCTCGAGAAGCACATCCACCCCGTCGTCATCATCCGCGCGTTCAAGGCGGCGCTCAACGACGCGCTCGCCACCATTGACAAGATCTCGGTCAAGGTCAACACGTCGGACGACAAGGAGATGCTCGCGCTCATCAAGACGTCGATCGGAACCAAGTTTGTGTCGCGCTGGTCGGACCTGATGTGCAAGCTCGCGCTTGACGCTGTCAAGACGGTCGCTGTGTCGGCCGAGGCTGAGAACAATGTTGTCACCACCGGCGGCGAGGGCAAGAGCCCCGTTGACGTCAAGACGGTCGACATTAAGCGCTACGCTCGTGTCGAGAAGGTTCCCGGAGGCGAGATTGAGGACTCGCGCGTCCTCAAGGGTGTCATGATCAACAAGGACATTACACACCCCAAGATGCGCAGGAAGATTGCCAACCCCCGTGTCGTCCTCCTCGACTGCCCCCTCGAGTACAAGAAGGGCGAGTCGCAGACCAACATTGAGATCACGCGCGAGGAGGACTGGAACCGTGTCCTCCAGATTGAGGAGGAGCAGATCAAGGCCATGTGCGACAAGATCATCGAGTTCAAGCCCGACGTCGTCGTCACCGAGAAGGGTGTCTCGGACCTCGCCCAGCACTACTTCCTCAAGGCGAACCCGCCCATCACCGCCATCCGCCGTGTCAGGAAATCGGACAACAACCGTATCGCCCGTGCTGTCGGTGCCACGATTGTGAACCGCGTCGACGACCTGCGCGAGTCGGACGTCGGCACGGGATGCGGCTCGTTCCACATTGACAAGCTCGGCGACGAGTACTTCTCCTTCTTTGACGAGTGCAAGGAGCCCAAGGCGTGCACGATCCTGCTCCGCGGCCCGTCCAAGGACATTCTGAACGAAATTGACCGTAACCTCGCGGACGCCATGGCTGTCGCGCGCAACGTCGTCTTCAACCCCATCCTCGCCCCTGGAGGTGGTGCCACCGAGCTCGCCATCTCGACCGCGCTCATGGAGAAGGCCAAGTCGATGCCGGGTGTCGCCGGGGCGCCGTACAAGGCGATCGCGGAGGCGCTCGAGGTCATCCCGCGCACGCTGATCCAGAACTGCGGAGGCAACGCGATCCGCACGCTGACCGAGCTGCGCGCGCTCCACGCCGATGGCAAGAACTACATGGGTGTCGACGGCGAGACGGGCAAGGTCGCTGACATGCGCGAGTACGGCCTCATGGAGTCTGCGGCGGTCAAGATCCAGACGCTCAAGACGGCGATCGAGTCGGCGACGCTGCTCCTCCGTGTCGACGACATTGTCTCGGCGCGCAGGCCGGACGAGCCCTCCGGAGCGCAGGGTGTCACGCAGGGCTTGGAGGGAACCGAGGACCTCCAGCCGGACGGAGTCCAGATGTAGTTTAACGGGTAATATCACGTAGTTCATTTTTGCATGAATGTCAGATAGAGCATAACGCATGCGTGCGGGGGTGTATAGGCGGCGGAGAGGAGGGCAGAGAAGCCCGTTGACAGGTTTGCATGACAGTCGCGTAGGCGTGGCTGATTATCACATTCCTTCCTACCCCGCAACCACAAGGTGGAGGCAAAACACACCCGGTCGTCGTATGACGTTTCAACCCTGTCAACTACCGATTAGGACGTTTTGCGACCACACCCACCATCATGCCTGAGCGGCAGAACTCGTCGTCTCAGCTGCTAACCCCGTCGCCAGCGGACGGGGACCCCCTGTCCTTCTCCCCCGGCGGCGGGCACGGCGGGCACGGCGGGCACGGCGGGGGACACGGGGGCTTGACGCGGCGCATCAGCGCGTCCGCGCTCGACGTCACCGCCTCCGGGATCGATCGGCGGCGGCCCAGTCTCTCGCCCGCGGTCCCGTCGCCGGCCATCGCGTCGCCCGTCGTCGCCTCCCCCTCTGCGCCGGTTTCGACACGCACATCGCCGACCAAAACACACGCCACCCTCACCCCGCGTCCGAAGCGGCCTAGTCTTGATCCGGACCTGCTCGGGATCGGCGGGTCGGGCGGGAGGAAGTACAGCTCCCGCCGTGTGTCGGGAAACACCAGGCCGCGGGTTGCGTTGGGGCTGGAGGGGATGGACGCAGACGACGTGCTCGAGACGCGGTACGATGAGATGGGCGACGCCGAGCTCCAGGCCGTGCTGGACCGATGGGCCGTGAAGCCTTTGAACCTGGGGGCTGGGGTGGCCGACGACTCGTCGCCGTCGTCTTCGTCCGAGATCGACATGGACGTCGACGTACACGAGACGCCGCGCAGTGACCGGCGCCGACCACCGCTGGAAGCAACGCCCTCGCCGCAACATGCGCATACGGGCTCGCCGCTCGCGCCCAAGCTGACACGCAGCTCGAGCTCGAACCAGCCCCTCTTCCCCCCGTCTCCGCCGCAGGCACCGAAGAGTAGCGAACACCCGCTGAGGGTCCTGAGCAAGGCGGTGCGCGAGCTGATGGCGAGCGTGTCGCGCCTCGAGGCCGAGAACGAGACGCTGCGGGATACAGTCGCAGAGCAGGCCGCGCAGATTAGCAGGCTTGCGCAGGCCAACGCACCCCTGCAGGCCATGGCGAGCCGGCCGCGGAGTATAAAGGACAGCGGGGAGAGGGAGCGGAGTGAGGCCGTCTCAGTGCCCAAAAGTGATCAGGTATGTCTCCCCAGCTGTTCGGTTGAGATGCGAGCTGACCCACCAGGCGTCGATCCACGACAGCCTCGCCGATGCTCTTAGCACGAGCCTCGCGTCGCCGGGGAAGATGCAGCTGATGCTGGTACGAGCGGCCGGGGTCGCCGAGCTCTTTCGCTTCGGCGCGCCCCAAGAGCCCGGCACCTAGTGTGCAGAGTGCCCGTTCGACGAGTACGTCTGAGCGGCCCAAGTCGCGAGAAAGCCGACCGAGGACCGCGAGCAACGCGTCGCATAAGACGTGGGGGAGTATCTGGGGCTGGGGGAAGAGGCCGCGGAAGGGGAGTATGGGGAGCACGACGGCTCTACCCGAGGAGGAGGACGAGGCGTGGCGGCGCGGAGACGGGGGCAGCACACCTGGTTTCCGCGCAGTCGTGCTCGCTACGGTAAGCTACATTCACTACGTGAAGCTGACAGCAGCGTATCCTGACACCCGACACGGGCTCGATTTTGTACGGCGAAGCGCAGCCGAAACTGGCGGAATGGGCGCACGCGCTCGTCAGCAATGCGCGCGACGAGGACATCAGCGTGAAAGAGCCGCCGGGGCGGCAACGTGCTCGCTCTCGCGCCGCGAGCGTGTCGAGCGGCCCTCCAGCCCTGAACGAGCCCGAGGGAGGCGATGTCGTGTCCGGTGCCGTGGCGGCTGGACGCAGCTTTATCTCGCGCTCCAAGGCAGCGATGGGGATGGATGACGCGGCCAAGCCGCCGAAACGCCCCGCTCTGCTTAGCAAGCCGAGCTCGCGTACGCCGACGACGGCAGTCACGCCCAGCTCTTCGGAGGTTAATGGCCCGCTGCCCCCGCCGAGCGTGGAGCTTGCGTCCATCGTTCCCGACGAAAGCCGCCCGCCGACGGTTCTGCTTTCCAGACAGAATCTGGGCAGCTTCTTCACGAGCTCGAGGAAAGGGGCGCCGAGACTGTCCACGGCCACGCGGTTTACGAGCGACCAGCCGCCGTTGACGGACCGGTACGGATTCATTTGTGAGTACACAGCTTCGAGAAAGTGTGGGACGTCTAGCTGAGATTCAGACGACATCCAGCACGCCAGCATGCTGAAGGACGCGAGCCGGGTTGGCACGTCTGCACCCATCTCGCTGACGGGTCACAATCTCGAGCCGCCTGCCCTGTCGCATGATCCCGCCACGATCCCTGTCTCGCCGAGGAGCGCATCGCCCGAGCTGCCACAAACGCCCGAGACGACGTCGCCACCGAACGGCTCCGTCACGGTTCAGCGCCGCCGCAAACCGTCTCTGTACCGCTCGCTTGCGCCTGCCCCTTCGCGCCCGACGACGGGCAAGGACGAGGTCAGCGTGGCGGTGCGCGGTGGCGCGTCGCGACATTCTGGGTCGAGCGCATCAGCCGCGCTGGTCAGCGAGACAGGCACGCCGAACAGTGAGGGCGAGGGCTCCGCGTCGCGTCTAACCGTGTCGAGCCTGTTAGACCAGCTGACGGAGATCCACGACCGGCAGCAAAAGACGCGCACGGCCGAATGGGACGCGTTCCTGCGCAAGCGTGTACGAAGGGGGAAGGATGTCGGCGTCTCGGGCGCCATCAGCGCCATCATCCATCTGCAAGGCAGCAGCAGCAAGAGCAGCCAGGAGGAGTATAACAAGTTCCTCCGGCTCGTCCGGCGCGGCATCCCCATCGAGTACCGCAGCGACGTGTGGGCTGAATCGTGCGGGGCGCGCGACTCGATGGTCCCCGGCGAATATGCCGAGATCCTCAGCGTGCACAAGGAGGACCAGAGCGCCGTCATGGTCGACATTGACAAGGACGTCGGGCGCACCTTCCCGGGCAACGTGTTCTTTGGCGGTGATGGGCCGGGTGTCAAGAAACTCCGGAGAGTGCTCGTCGCGTACTCGTGGCACAACCCTGCTGTCGGATAGTGAGTTAGCTTTCGTCGGGCAAAACTGACAACCAGCTGCCAGGGCATGAACATGCTTGCTGCGACGCTGCTCCTGACATACACTGATGAGGGTGAGCTTGGAAGTGTGTCGGGCTCAGCTGACGAGACAGAACAAGCCTTCTGGGTGTTAGACAGCATGATTGACCGACTTCTGCCGACGGACTACTACGCGCCTTCGCTGCTGGGTTCTCGAGCCAACCAGCTCGTGCTCCAAGACCTGGTGCAGCTGCACATCCCCAAGATCTGGACGCACCTGCAAAACCTCTCCATTGACCTGACCTCAATCACGTTTGGCTGGTTCCTGTCCTTGTTCACGGACATTCTCCCCGTCGAGACGCTCTTCCGTGTGTGGGATATCTTCTTCCTCCCCGCCGAACAGGGCGAGGGCGGGAACGCGATCCTGTTCCGCATCGCGCTCGCCATCCTCAAGATCAACGAGCAGGACCTCCTCCGCTCCGCGTCTGTGCCCGCCGTCTTTGAGTATCTGTCCGGCATCAAGCTCAGCTCCAAGCTCTGGAATCCTGACAAGCTCATCGCGCTCCAGCACAGCTACAAGGGCGTCATCAAGGGAAATGAGATCCGGAAGCGTGTCGAGGACAAGATTGACCAGCTGCAGCGCGAACTCGACCAGGACGACGATTAGACGCGACGAGAAATTTAGAAATTAAATGTATGCATGTACTCTCTATGTACAGTAAGCTGCGTCAATGAGCTGACGCTCAGTCGTCCTCAATCTCCATGCTCTCCTCCACGAGGTCGCTCATGAGGCTCTCGCCCCCGGCCTCCTCTAAGCTCTTCGGGTCGGCCTCGACAGGCAGCGGGCCGAAGGCGGGGTTGCCCTTGCTGACGTTGAAGGGGTCGAGGTCGCTGCGGGCAATCGCGGCGGGTAGGCCAGGGAGTGTGGTCGGGTCGAGGCACTCGACCTGCTCCTTGAGTGCCATTTCGAGCAGCACAGTCGCGACTGGTTCTTGGGGCACAAGCGCGAGCGCGCGGTGGTACAGCGCGATGGCGGTGCGGACATCACCCTCGAGCTGCGCCAGCATGGCCTGGGACGCGTAGGCTGTCGCATTCGTCGGGTCGAGCGCTATACAGCCCGCGTACGCGGCTCGGGCCTCAGCGTATCGCCCGCTGATACGGTACGCGTGTCCGAGGTTTGCGTGCGTGACGGCCCACGCGGCGGTGCGGCCCTGCATCTCGCCCGCGCCCGCGATAGCGCGCTCAAAGTACTTGATCGCGGCGCCCATGTCGCCTCTGTCGTACGCCGTGACGCCGAGCTCGTTCAGCAGCAGCGGGTCGGAGGGGTGCAGCGCCGCGCTGGCGAGGAAGAACTCCTCGGCGAGCTGCGAGCTGCTCAGCTGCAGGTGTTCCATGCCGATGAACAGCAACGTGAGGTGCGAGCCGGGGAAGAGGCGCGCAGCGGTCGAGTACGCCGTGATGGCGTGGTCGTGCTCGCCCTCCCACGCGAAGGAGTGCGCGAACGCGATCCACGCCGGCGCAAAGCGCGGATCGATGAGATTCGCTTTGCTGAAGTGCCGCCGCGCCTCGGCCCACCGCTTCCCCGTGAAGTACCACAGGCCGACGGCGTACCATGTCGTCGCAGCGTCGGGGTCCTGCTGCACCAGGTCGTGCGCGAGCATGAATAGCGAACTCCGCAGACGCGGGATGTAGTGCATGCACGCAAGGTGTAATGGGAGCGCTGAGGGGTGTCCCGGAATGCGGGCCAAAATCTTGGACGTGACGCTGTAGCAATCCTCCCACTTGTACCGCGCGAAGAGCTCCTCGGCCAATCCAACGAGCACGTCCGGGTTGTCCCCTAGCCCGTAGTTGTCGATGAGCTCGCGCCGGACTGCCGCAATCTCGGACACGTGCGCGTCCTTTCGCAGCTTGGAAAGGTACATCAGCCGCACGAAGGTTGCCTCCTCGGGCCCAAGCTGCGAGCGGTAGGAAAGGTTGTTGACGAACTCCCATTCTATCGTCAGTTCATCAAAGATGTGCAGTAAACTCACCCTCAGCGGCCGTCATCATCTGACCCTCGACAATCTCGCGGAACGCGTCATAGTTCTTGACATCAATGACGAGCGCCTCGATGAAGCTCTCCTTCGCAAGCGCCATGCTCGACAGGCGTAGGTATAGGATGCCGCGTAAGAAGCACATGGTCGAGTGAAGTCTGATGCCGTCGAGGGGCCCGACCTCAGCAATCGACTCCTTGCGAAAGGGGTTCGTCTCGCCGATCATCTCCAGCGCCTCCTCGTACTTCTCCTGTCCTATCAGGCACTGTGCGGCTAGTGAGCGGCACGGCAGCGAGTCGACGATTATGGGCTCCAGCAGCTCCTCCTTCCCCTTCCCCTTGTCCTTGTCGCCAGGCTGTCGCGGTCGCGGCATCGGCTCTGTCAGCAACCGCTGCGCACGTAAGTACTGTCCCATCAGGAAGTAAACGTGCGCGAGCCAGAACGCGTCGTTGGTATCGCCTGGCGTCAGTTGCATGCTGGATCAAGCCAACTTACCGGTGAGAGACAGGATCTTGTCGGCCCAGAACGCCGCCGTCTCATACAGATTGTGGATAGCCGCGTCACCACGCCAAACGCGCATCGACGCGATCATGTTGTCCCGCGCATCGCCCTCGAGGTCTTCGAGCTCGTCGCTCGCCTCGACGCTCGTGTCGCACAGCCTGGAGCGAGAGCTGGTGCCGGTTCCGGGAGGCTGGGCTCGCGACCAGCGGCCGAGAATACTATTCGCGGTCCCGCGTCGGAGCGGTGTGCGCGCAGGCGACACCTGGGACATGCTCATGTTGCCCTGCTCTGCTGAGGAAATGAAGGCGGCACGCCCGCGTGACGGCGACATGATCGACACATCGCTGTAGCTGCTGTCGTTTGGGTTGAAGGAGAAGGACGTCGATATCCGAGCTGCGGAGCCGGGAAGTCGGCGTCGCGCAGGACCTTGCGGCGTGAAGGTCGCTGGCGGCGGGGTGTGCGTCGGCATTGGTCGTGAGTGTTGTTGTTTTGTTGACGGCTTTGTGCAGGCGATCTCAGATGGAGGCCCATTCCAGGCACGGCTACCTGATTGTTCGTGTCGCGTGTGGCAACATTACGTAACGGCCTCTGCATCAGCCCAGGCCGGTGCAGGAAGACGTCAGCGAGCACACAGTCTGTAAGTCTATGCATCCCTGGAGGCCAGCGCCAGTGCAACAGTCATGAATGCATACGTGCACAAATACATCAGAGTTGTAGTTCTATCGGGCGCGAGCTCGCTGGCTGACAGCCTCACCTGGCCCGGTGGGGACGAAAGAGAAGGACTCTGTCCTGTCCCGCTCGCCATCGCTCTTCGGGCTGCGGCTTCGGTCTCGGGACTGCTGGGGCGTGCCGCGTCTGCTAGACGGCTGCGACTGAGGCTGGGCCGGAGGTTGAGCAACGCCGCTACGGTACGCCCAGCGGAGCCACCATGGGCCCTTCAACTTCGCCTCCTCCTTTGCTCGCTCCTCTCTCCTGCGCTCAAAGGCGGCGCGATACCGCTTATACCCCTCTTCGAAGTGCGGGTCGACGCGCGACGAGAAGATGAGCTCTCCGCGCGGGTTCGCACTCGGCGGGATCTGCGCCATGACCGTGTGCGACGAGTTGCTAACGCGTCGCGTGCTCGGCCGGTGACCGCCAGGAGGGCGCTTCTCGTTCATTGTCGACGTGTTGTTAACTGCCTTGAGCGGAGCCGGTGATGGCCGCAGCGCAGCAGGCAGCGGCAACATATCCCAGAGCCCACCACGGGCTCGGCGCACGTTGAAGTACATGTTCAGTGGGCGAAGAGACCTGTTAGAATGATTGACATAGCTGACAGTTAGACAGCAACAAGGACTTCGTAGCTCACCTGTGGGCGTAGCGGATCTTCTCGTCATACATGCCTGAGGCGAAGAAGAGCGCCAGCGTGATGAACACGACCATGACCGAGGCTTGCAGACCACGTAGCAGCACCCAGTTCTCGGGCGGCAGCACGACCAGCCGGTATGACATGACGACGAAAGCGGTAACGAACGAATAGAGAAAGACTGGTGGTCAGTTTCTCCAACCTCCCGTAAACTGCACGACGCCACCGACAGAGCTGTCGCCGCCGCTACTCACCACTGTACCGCCGCCTTCTCCTCCGGAGCATCTCGGCGTTCATCTTCAGGCGCTCCTCGAATAGAAGCAGGTCGCGGTATGTGCTCGTATCTGCTGTGGGGTGGAAGATACCAGAGCCGGGGCGGCGCGACGAGCCGCCGGGTGGAGTGCGCGGCGGCGTCGCCGGCCGCGGATGAGAGCCGTTCAGGTATGCACCAGTCGATGGCGCCGTGCCGAGGGTCGGAAGAGGACCGTTGGCCACCTGGCCCCTCGGCGCCGCTGGTGTTGAGGCGCTGCTGGTCCCCAGTGTCGCCATACCGCGGTGTGTTGTGAAAGATGTGGAGAGCGGTGGAGGGGAGAAGGCAACAAAGATGGGGCGATCGATCCGGCCATGAGTCCGGTGGAGGTCCCGTTCGGAAGGTCTGGGGTGAGGCACTGACGTCGGTCCCGCTCCGCTAGACCTTAACCCACGCGTCCATGCTGCTTATGCATCCGGATCGCCCCAAGTTCAGGTGTACATGCATATTACAAGCTCTAGATCGTATTGATGTTGACATATGACAGATGGAACGAGCTGTCTTCCTCGTCTTTTGGTGGCCCCACAAGATGTTCTCAGGCTGCCGAGTCTGTGCAGCTGTCCGAGCTGCAGGTCCGTGCAACATGGGCCTAAATCGTACTCTTCTCGAAGAGAAATTACACCTTGAACACGAGACTGACACCCTCGTCACCGGCAGAGACAACGGCCTGAGCCTGCTGTTGACCAGTCGGGCTCGTTTCGGAGGCAGGGAGGGGAGCGACGCAAACGCCGTTGACGACACCGGTGTGACCCTTGTGCTCAGCGACGAGGGTTCCCGTACGGATGTCCCAAGTCTTGAGGTTGCGGTCGGCAGAGCCAGAAGTGACGAGGTGGAGATTGGGGGCGGGGTGCGCGGCGAGCGAAGTGATGGGCTCCTGATCACGTTAGCTCTTGCCAGTTAACGAATCGTCTACTCACGTCGTGCTTGAGCTCGGCACGGACACGGCCAGTGTGGACATCCCAGACAAAGCCCTTGCCGTCGACACCTCCAGAAACGAGGACGGTGCCCTTGCCGCCGCCAGCTCCACCAAGAAGGTCAACAAAGACAAGAGCCTCAACAGACTCGCCCTCGTTGTGGCCCTCGAGCTTGCCGACGATGTCACCCTTCGGAAGAGAGATGAGCTTGACCTCACCACCAGCGCTTCCGACGGCGGCGAGCGCACCGTTGGGCGAGACCGCAAGAGCAGTGATACCATCAACGGACGGGTCGAGCTCGGAAGCGTTCTCACCGCAGAAGACGGGGAGCTTGAACATCGGGGTGCCGGCCGTGGGGTTCCAGAGAATGAGAGTCGAGTCGAGCGAGGCGGTCAGAAGCTGGCGGCCGTTCGGGGGCGGGAACTCTCCAGCAGTGACGGGCATGGTGTGGCCCGAAAGAACGGTCATCGTGTTACCGGACGGCACTGAATGTCAGCTGGAGACTCCTGACTCAGTCTGTGAACTTACGCTGCCACAGCCACACGGTCGAGTCCTCGCATCCAGCCGCGAGCACGGGGCCCTTGGGGTGCCAGCGGAGCCACTGGATCTCGCTGTCGGCCTCGAGGTCGGCGATGAGACCCCACTGCGTCCAGTCGTCTCCCTTCATGTAGACACGAACGTGGCCATCCATGCCACCGGTGGCGACCATCTCGCCGTTGAACGACCAGGCCGCAGCAACGACACTGTCGGTGTGGCCGTCGAGGCCGATAGGCGAGAAGCTATCGGCGTGAATGCCCTGGGCGTCCGAGTCACCCTCGGGGGGCGGCAGAGGGGCGTAGATGTACGCCATGTCGTCCTCTCCTCCGGACACAGCGATAGGAGGGTTGGGGAAGGCGGGGTGAAGAGCGAGGGCAAAGAGCGACTGCTGAGGCTTGTGGACAGCTGTTCTCGTTAGCTACATCGCAATTTCACATGGCTCAACTCACCACTGGCACTCCAGGAGTTGTCCTCCATAGTTTCGACGCCCTCCATGTCCTCTCCCTTCTCGATTGATCGCATGTACTCCTCCTCCTCGCCCGGGGCGGGGGCACCGATCACGATCTCGCCATCGTAGCCGTCAAAGTCGTCGTCGCTCATGGGCTCGCCGGCGGGTCCATCGTCCTCAACGACCTCGACGACATCGTCCTCAGTGAGCTGAACGTCCTCCCCGTCGGGCCGGGGCTCGTTTTGTTGTTCGGGGTTCATGATTATAGATGTGGATTGGATGAGATTGTGGAAGATCAGAAATCTCAGTGATGACGCCTGACAAATTTCAGAGCGCTCTGGATCCAGAAAGTGGAGGTCGTCCACCACCTGGCTTGGTAAGCTTGCCACCCCGGGAGAGGGTTCGAGTGCTTCTAACGAATGATGCATGAGGATGTGGTTACAAGTAGTACATGCTAACGCCTGTCCAGTCGTGGTACATGTTTATGCAGATAGAGAGAATGTCAACACCCGTCACTTGAGCTTGACTGCGAGAGCCTGATGCACTTCGTTTCTGCGCGTTAGCTTGGGGCAGGAAATTCAGCCTTACCTAGCTTTGCGGCCAGTTTCTGACGCCTCATCGAAGCGCTCTGCCCGCTCAATGCTCGCTTCCATGTCCTGCTTCCGCCGATTCTTCTGTCAGTTGAAGCTCTAAACTGCGGAAACTTACAATGACAGCGCCCTCAACATCGAGGCCGGCGGCGACAGTCTTTTGCCACCCTTGATGCCTATCGCAACGCTTCCCACCGTCACAGAGAGCTCCATCTCCTTGGGAGCCATCCCATGCCTCAACAGCCACGTCGTCCCAAAGCAGCCTAGCGTCCCAGCCGCATGGTCGCACTTCCACCGTCTCCATCTCACGACGTTTGGACTTGTTCTTCCGCCGAGCAGGGACCTCCACGAGCACAAGTGGCAACGCTTCCCAGCTCTCGACAGCTTGTGACAGCAGAGTTTGACGCTTGGTCACGAGGTCCATTTGCCGCTCGAGTTCAGACATCTGAGATCTCAGGTTCGCTACCAGCGCGGCATGCGACGGCGAGACTGTGCTGGGTTGTGACCCGTCGGCCAGTTGGACAGAGACCGCGGGGGCTGGGGCGGGGTAACCGGATAGGCTGCGGCTGATCTCTGATGTGGTCTTCTTGTCGAGGCCGGAGGCAACAGCCTGAGCGACTTGGAGAGCACACCTCGACGAGCAGTATCTGGGGTCAGCTGTATCCTCGTGATGGAGTGCGTACTTTGAACTTGGTGCGGCTTGACGCTCACAGCCGTCCCGCTTACAGAACCGCTTATACCGTGTCCGTTGTGACGTGGAGGGCTCGCACGCTTCACAGATGTATACGTCCAGTAGATCGACCTTGTCCTCATCGATGTTGACGCACTTGGGGTGGAACCAGTTATCGCAGCTGAAGTTAGCACAGTGGAGAAGCTTGAACGGCGAGGTCGGGAGACGGCACGTCGCAACCGGTGCGCGGCACGGTGAGGCTGGGCTTGAAAGTGCTGGCGCAGGTGGTGTTGCGGGGTTCACAGGTGACGAAACAGCAGACATGGAGGAATGGGAGGAACGGAGAGGACGAGTGCAACGTTGATGGTGCACGGCTGTCATAGGGCGATACTTGCGCGCTAGCAATGCGTTGACCTGGACGCCAAGGGCGCCGGCGCGCGCCTGTCTCACTCGACGGCGAGGACTCACACTTCACATCCGACCATTGTGCCTTCCTCTTGCCCTTTGCACACACAGTACACATTCTCGTTTCCGTCGCTGTCATCGTTGTCCTCGTCGTCGCGGCTCGCAACAACATCCTGCGACTGTCAGCATCGGCTCTGGTTTCAACGCTTCGCCTCAGCCCCGTCTCCTGCTACGCGTCTTGAGCTATGCTGAACCGCTGAACGAAGTCCCAGAGCTCAATCAAGGCGCTGCATTTCCTAGCACAGTCGAGCGTTACTAGTTCATGCCAAGCGCGGAGCACACACGCACACAGACATGTCGCACCAACTAGACGTACCTTGGACGAAGACCGCTTTCCGATCTTTCTGCTCCCACTATCCGGCGCCTTCTTCGACTTTGCATTCTTCTTCACCACTGATTTGGCGAGACTTCCACCATCGCTCTTCGGCTTCTCTGGACTACCGACAGATGTCGCTCGCGAGGTTGACGGCGCCGGCGACCTGTGACCATCGGTGCTAGGCCCGTGCGTCCCTTCGCGAGAGGTAGTCACCTCGTGAGCCACCTTGGTACGTTTCAGATCCCGGTCTTCCGGGGAATCTTCATGGCGGTCGTGTTTGTCGCTCGGTACTGGCGAACCGTTCATTGCTGGATGTAGATGTGGAAGTGCAAATGCGCGAGAGCAGGAGTGACAGACAATTGTTGTTTTCGGCGATCACGCGCCGGTGGAGGTCGACCGTCCCGCGATCCAGGCCATCCAGCTGACCTCCTCCCGAACTTTGCCCGACAACACACTACTCCACAGCAACAACGATCATGCCTGCGCAATCCGAGGTGAAGGAGGGGCTATCGAAAGGCGAAAGTCTGAACACGATAGATCCCTCGCCTCTCAATGACCCCGCGGCGTACTTATCTCTGTTCAAGTTCAACCGCAAGCTCCACTGCTCCCGGACCGGCTCCGACGTCAGCTTCTCGGATATCGGAGACCCATCCGGAACGCCCGTGCTCATGATTCCACCTTCAGGATGTACACGGTGGTTTGCAGCTCCCCAAGGCAAGTAGAAGATTATACCGACGCTGACGGCCAGATCCGCTCGCCGCTGGCCATGACATCAGACTGATCGTGGTCGACCGACCAGGCGTGGGTGCGACGCCGATGGTTCCGTTATCTCAACGAGTGGAGACCAATTGTCGTGCGTGCTGTCTCCGCAATACAGCTGACATCAGGCCAAATCGAGTCTGTTCTGGGGCATCTTGACGTCAAACCGCAGTTCTTGATCGCTACCTCAGCTGGAGTATAGTAGGTCGGTTTCTCAGTGGCGATGCTGACGGTAGCGTCGCGCTCCGGTTGCTGACCCAGTACTCTCATATCTTCAAGACGGCTCTCGCGCCCCCTCCGCACCTCTTCCTCGTTTCACCATGGTCGCCGCCGCTTCCCACTTCAGATCCTCTGTATTACCGTCAGCCACTGGACTGGATTCCCGATGCCTTGATCACTACGCAGGAGTACACGCTACCCGTGCTCGCGACGACACTGCGAGGCGTCGAGGAGGCGCTTCCAGTTGTCAAGGAAGTCTTCCACGAGACGACCGCCGTGGTGAACGAGGCTATTGGCAGTGCAGTCAACGGCGTCCGCTCCTGGTGGAGCGGCAAAGCAACACCATCGAGCATGAGCCGTGCTGCGAGCGACAGCAGCGCGGGCGAGTCTTCCACTGCCGCCAAGGCTGAGAAGGACGTCAAGTCGGTGGATCAGCTCGGCGCGATCCCGTCCTCGATGACGGGTCTGCCAACTGTGCCCGATGCGGTCGTCCCCGATGACGATGAAGAGGAGGAAGAGCGGCAGCGGCTATGGGCCCCCAGTGCTAAGAACCTGGCGATGGACTATATGCAGGCGGAAAACACCAAAGGCATTGCGCAGGGTGAGCTGACGTAGATGTTTGGAGCTGACATCAGAACACCTCCTCTGCTTAAACCGCGCCGGGGCTCGAAGCGGGCCAGAGTGGTTCGTGAACGAAGTGACGCGATTAGCTGCGGAGATCCGCCATCAGCGCGCGTCCGAGGACGTATCCGCGGTCGCGCCGTGGGACAAGCCTGCACGTCTCACGATTTCCGTCTGGTGGGGTGGCGAGGACGGCATGGTGCCGTCGAACGGGCAGCAGTGGCTGAACAAGACACTGAGCAAGTATCCTAAGGAGATCGAGCTCATCGTACACAACGTCGAGGACGGTGACCACGGAGATTTGTGAGTTAAGAGCAACGTTCTCCAACTGACAAGCAGGATGGTACGCCAGGTCGGTATCGGAGAAGTATACCTCCGCATCATGCACGAAGCCTCCCAAGGCGGCGGCAGTGCCGAGCCAGCGATGCCCGATCTCCCCGACATACCGGAGACACCTGTGGAGGAGAAGCCCAAGCCCGAGCAACCACAGGCCAAGGAGACTAGGAAGACCGAGGCGTGATCGCGGAAAACATGTGCTCATGTGAGCACCATGAAGCAGACGGACAAGTGGGTTGTGGAGCGAGCGGAGGACCGCGCAGGACCACGGGCCCCGGACCCATGTGATGCGCCACTCCGGCGGAGCGGGCAGACGCGGGCATGCCATCGACCGCCGACAACCCCGTTTGTGGGAACAAGCTAAAGCTCGTCGGTGCCGGGGAGCATGCCGACTTCCCATGGTTAGTGCCCTCGACCCTGTCCACTCAGCGACATCCCCATTCTGCCATTCCCTCGCGACATTGTGGTATCTGCAGATCACGCCCGGCTGTCCGTGGCAAACGCTAGACTTGAAACAGCAATCATAACTCGCTCGGCCTTTCGCCCGAAGGAGACTCGGAGCCGGATGAGCGGGCCGTTCTTCCGCTGCATCGCTGCAACGTTCTTCTACGACTCGGAATGTCGGTTCCGTGATGCGATCGCCGCCAGCATGTGGTGTCATGAAGCAGCACGCTAGTGCGGGCCGGAGGAGGCCGACAGACCGAGGGCCTGCGGGTGCGCGTCATGTGGGTCTGGATCTGGATGTAGCCTGAGCGTTAGTCTAAAGCCAGACGGCGATATCAGCGAGACTCTCATGTGCCGTCTTCGGCTTCGATCGGGTGCGTCATCTGCGCACCAGGGTCGAGCTTGTAGCACAAATACTCCATACATGATACACGTAAACAGACTGCCGACTATGAAACCTTGACACGGTCATGAACCCTTTGATCCAATGGAAACTCTCGATACGTCGATGCGAACCGCGCGCAGAGCCCAAAACCACTCTTCTCATCCAAACGAGCCTAGCACGTAGCACTATGCACGTTGCCCCGCTCGCTTAGTTGTTGCCGAAGATGACGGCCGCGAGGGCCTTGGCTCCCTCGCCGGCCGCGTCGTCGACGACGAGGACATTACGGAAGACGATGTCATCGCTCCGGAGCGCGTCGAGGAGGAGCTGGACGTAGCCCTTCGAGTTCATGAGGCCGCCACCGAGGTCGAGTGCCGTGCTCTCGGGACGGACGATGGTGCGGTCGCCGAGCGCGAGCGTGACGAGCTCAGCGACAGGACGCACGGCCTCGCGCGCGATGGCCGTCGCGGCCTTGTGCGCCTCCTCCTCCTCGGGGGTCGAGATGGTGACGCCGCCCTCGTCCGGGAACGCCCACTTGAAGACGACGCGCGCCGCGCCGGCAAGGTACGCGTTGCGCTTGGCCGAGGCCTCGCCGATGCCGAGGCCCTCGACAAAGTCGGGCTCCATCAGCGCCACGATGCGGATCAGGTCCGCCGGGTCCTTGATGTCAAAGTACTCCATGAGGTCGCGGTAGAGCGGGCCACGCTTGGGCAGCTCGCCCGAGTGGATCAGCGGCGAGTTCTCCCGGTCACGCTGCGTCAGGAGGTAGCGCATCGCCAGACGGCCGATCCAGTACGCGCTTCCCTCGTCGTCGATCATGTAGCCCCAGCCACGCGTCTGGCCCGCGTCCTCGATCGGGAGGCTGCGCACCTTTGGCGTCGTGGGGCGGCTGCCGTCGCTCTCGCCCGAGTCGCCCGCGTCACGCGCCTCGACCGGCGGCGAGGGGGGCAGCTCGGCCTTGGTCTCGACCTTGATCGTGCGCGCACCAGTGCCGGTGCCACAGACGAGGGCGACGACGTGGTCGATGCCGCTCATGAGAAGAGCAGGCGCGGCGAGGAGGTTGACGTCGTTGCCCATAAAGATGCGCTCGGTGGGGACGTGAAGCGCGTTCGAGACGTAGGGCTTAAAGCGCTCCGAGTCGTCCTCCGACTGGATACCGGCGAGAGCAATCCAGCAGTACGCGAACAGGCTCTTCGTCATCGGGGGGAGCTTGATGCGGGGCGTGTTGGCGCCCGAGGGGGCGGGGGAGGAGTTGCGCAGGTGCTGCACGGCAGGAGGAAGCTGGGGCTGCAGCTGGGGAAGCTGGAAGCCCTCGGGGAGGTAGGAGGCGGGGAGCTGGGCAAGAGCGCGGTAAGTCGCCTCAAGGATGCGCTCGGCAGCGGGGCCACGGCCGACCGATTGGCTGGAGAGTCAGCTGACATTCATGTAGATAGCAATGCTGGAGCACCGCGGGGAATGCAAGTACGCAGGACAGAGCTAATCCAGTTGGAGCGGTGCAGATAGCGCGGAAGCAGTGCAGATAGCCAAGCCAGGCCGTGATCGACGGTCGCGCCACCCGCCAGCTCGGTACCGCTTTCGGCGATACCAAGCCCGCGATACGATAGTTGCAACCAGGCACTGCACACCAAGGAGAATACTCACACGTTGCAAGGGCCAGAGGTACCGCGGACCTCGGTGCCGTCGGCGGCGCGCACGACGACCATGACCTTGGAGCCACCGCCGTCGGCACAGAGAATGAGGCGGGGGTGGTCGCCCGCCACTTCACTGAGGGGCACGGCGCGGGGAGGGAGGGGGTGGAACGACATGGCGTTGAGCGGTTGTTCGCTGCTCGACGTTTGTTGACAGGGGAGTGGAGAGTGTGCGGGGAAGCCGAAACTAGGGTGGCGGCGGGTGGAGCGGAGTGTCGGAGTTGCTTATGTGCAAGAAAGGGACTAGCGTCGGCGTTGTTGTTGGCGACGAGCAAGCAACAGAGTCAGTCAAAGATGAAGAGATAAAGAAGAGATCGATGCTGGAGACGAAAGTGGAACGAAGAGGCAAAGGCCGAGCTAGTATATGCACCGACGTAGGTACGCCGTTTGAGGTGACGGTAGTGCATGGTGACTGGTGACGGCAAGGCCGGTCGCGAGAGAAGAGAGGCCGTGGAGAGATTCAGTTACGGTGGTTCGGAAGGATCGGCGAACGGTCGCTCTGATCGACAAAGCGGCGATCCTCCCGAACGGCATCAACTCGTTCAGAAAAGGTCAAATGTGTTCGAGGTCAAATAACGGGTAATGGCCGGATCCTAATGGGGGCCAATTACGAGACTGGGATGGATGCTAATCGCGGAGAGTGATGTGAAGACCGCCGTTTAAACTCTGAGCGGCATCTCACGGTCGCAGCGATCACCACGGGGCATCCGGCGTGGCTTCCGATCCTCCTTTGGGGCTCTCTCAGATCCCGGAAACGACGACAGGCCGAGCGCACGAGACCAGCACCCGCAGATCCCCCGTCATGTACCTCTTGCACGTCCAACTCCCGACACATCCCCCGTGCCCCACCCCCTCACTTGCTCCGGGGGTGCCGGGGGTCCAGATCTCTGAGTTTCGTTCCCAAACGTCACACACATCAACAGTTCCTGTCGCAGGTTGTGACAGGTACTTCCGCCCAGCCGTGTCCAGCAGTCGGGCATGCCCGCAGGTACTGACGATCTTGCCGAACGATGTACCGGTCTTTGATAAGTGCTGGGGTAGGGCGTTTGCAAACCTGCGTTTCTATCTGCGAACTGTGCCGCGGTCGAGGGCCTACGTATGAGCGAGATCGCAGAAGTCGTATGAGATCTGCTCCAGCGCCAGCGGCGACATTTAGTAGTCCCCGGAGCCCCCCTTCATCAGCCCCGCTAGCGTGTTTGGGCTCGCAGTCACAGTGACCCATGTGGTCAACTTGTTCATAATGCGTTCCGCACGAGTGCTCCTGAGGGTATCGGCGCCCCGGGCAGCGATCGCAACCCACCATGCGTGCTTGCGGCCAAAGGAGTCCGTGACGCAGAGAACAGAGGGTTTCGGTGGAGTCGCACCCGCCCTGCAGTCCTGCGACCCAGTGCCACCCTGGGTGTCCCGGACAGGCCAGGGTGAACTACCACGGCTAATCCGGGCCATCGGTGAGCCAATAAACGCCCCCATCGCGGGCCCCGCGACGCCCATGTCCTCGCGAGGCTCGGTAACTTTGCCGTTTGCTCTGAGATTTTCGGCGCCGTCGCCGTCTCGTAACAGGCATCAGCTTGCGGTCCTGCCCAGCGGGCGTAGCGGGCGCAAACTCGGCTTGATATCTCTTGCGACATGGAGGACTTTGGCCGAGCTAACCGACCACCACCCGATGGGCCGGGCCGGCAAATCGGTCCCACCCCGGGGGCCCGACCGCCTGCTTGGCGGAGCCACGAGATTGCTCTCGTGAGGCGTCGTGAAAGCATGGAGAGGTGCTTGCGGCAGGGAAGAACGATCTTGCGATAGTACTCACTCTGTGGGTGATGGTGAGGCAGACGCTGTGGCACCGTTCAGTGACGACCACCGACGACCGAGTTGCTAGCACGCTACTAACCGGCTAACACTTAGCCCGCACGAGCTAACACTAATGGTGAACATGGGGCAACCATCTTGCTCTTCTGCACATCTCACGACGTCCGACGTATGGACACCAGCGACGACGTTCTCGCCACTTGTCCCAGACCAGGCTGACGGTGGGACCTCGGGAGAGCCACCTTCTCATCGCACAAGGACGCCAAAGGCCGCCATGTTGACAACGACGAAACCCACCCTCCGGCAACAGCAGGAACAGCAACTACGACTGTTGTACGGCCTGGACGAGCACCAGGCGTCCAAGATGCTCGACCACATCCTGGGGGGCTGTGATCGAATAGAAGAGGAGAGGAGACATCTTGCAAGAGTGAGTCGACGAGGAGGCGTTGCTGATGAGGCAGAGCTCAAAACTCAACCCACTCGTGTACGGCATTGTAACCGCCTGCGTGTGGTTCCTCCTGTCCTGATTCCGACCTAGACTGCCTCATTGCCATGCACACTGTACCACCCTTGTCGTCTCGCGATCAGAGTTGAAGGGGCTCACTGTCTGTTGTTCGGCGCAGATGGTCGGAGCAGCGTTGCTCGGTCGACCACTTACGTCGCGGTGACCGTTTCGCGCTAGTGCAGTAGCGCCGGGTAACTGGCCCCAGTGCATCCGGAGCGCTTCGTCTTCCTCACTGCAAGTTGTGCGTTCGCGCTGGGTGACGATGCTTGATGCGTATGAGTCTGGCACAGTCTATTTCAGTTGCATGCGCTTGTTGCAGTCAGGCTAAAGATTGCACTTGCCTCGAGTGAATTGTGGCACACCGTGGCCAAGTAGTGCGCCAAGTGAACAGCAGCCATCGAGACTGCCACTGACATGCCACTGACGTGACTCTTGGGATTGTGGTTGTCGGTAAGTAGAAGCAATCGCTGGTCACAGGGCGCAATACGGTATGTGAAAGTCCGGCGAGACCTAGAGTCTAAAGATTGTCCTCACAAGGTGCCCAGCATAGCGGAGCGTCCCTTCTTGACGACGATGCAACGCTCTGGTTCGTAGGACACTCGAAGCTTTGGCCATCAGAGGGCCTCAACAGTCTTTCAGCCGCAAAGTAAAGCAGGTCCAATTCGAGACAATGGCCGGAGAGGCGCAAGCGGTGCCAGGGGTGCGGTGACAAGGACGCTGTGGGTCGTGGGCGATGTGGCTTCAGCGCAAGCGAGGAAGGAGATGGGGACAAAGGAAGAAGTGCAAGCAGGGGCTGTAAGAGAGTGGGGTCCGTCTTTCTGTCGAGGAGCGCTTGTGCAGAGCCTTGATGACTGTCTTCCCCGTCTTTCATGCTGTGTCATCCGGCCGAGGATCGATGATGTGCCACCAGGCCACTCGTGCGAGAGAAGTCCAGAGAGCTCACTGGGCGTTTCAGTTTCCGGCGACAACTTCCTGTCTACCTTCGTCAGTGGTCGAGTCGCCCAGTGGATTCAGATGATCTAGAGTGTGATAGATCCAATGCATATTGCTGTCTTCCTTGATCTGCTGCGCTGCTCGACTGACTGTGAAGGTGGAGGTGGAGGTGGAGGTTGGCCACTCAGGGGCCCCATCACGTGACAGGTACGGAACCAAATCCGCCACCTCCGCAGTCGACTTCTACGAGAGTGGCACTCAATCCAACCACTTCGGCGAGTCCAAGTTCGTCCCGATTGCGATCACCTTCGTGTTAAGATACTCCTCCGTGCCTTGGTATCCTCCTTCCTTCGAAGAGCCAGATTCGAGCACCCCACCGAACGGGATTTGTGCTTGAGAGATCGCTCCAGTGTTCGCTCCGACCATTCCGACCTCGAGAGCTTCGGCGACGCGCCAAATTCGGTCAGAATCCTTGGAGAAGAAGTAGCCCGCGAGACCAACTCTGGTGTCATTCGCGAGGTCGACCACGTGCTGCTCATCCTTGAACGGGATCAAAGCGGCGATGGGCCCGAATGTCTCGTCGTGGGCGATGAGGCAGTCCTCGGGGACGTCGCGGAGCACAGTCGGCTCAAACATGTTGCCCTCCCGCTTTCCTCCAGCGAGGACCTTAGCGCCACGCTTGAGCGCATCGTCAAGGTGGGACTGGACCTTCTCAGCGGCCTTCTCCGTGATGAGCGGGCCGTGGGTGACGCCGTCGTCGAAGCCGTTTCCGACCTTGAACTCCTTCACTTTGGCGGCGAGCTTGTCCGCAAACTCGTCATAGATGCTCTCATGGACGTAGATGCGGTTAGCGCAGACGCAGGTCTGTCCCGAGCCGCGGAACTTGGTCGCGATCGTGCCGGCCACGGCGGTGGGGATGTCGGCGTCGTCAAAGATGATGCACGGCGCATTGCCGCCGAGCTCGAGAGAGAGCTTTTTCAGGGTCGAGGCCGACTGCGCAGCGAGCATCTTGCCCACACGCGTGCTGCCCGTGAAGGATACCTTGCGCACCTTTGGGTTCTCGGTGAGCTCCTTGCCGACCTCGGTCAGGTTCTCGTGCGTCGAGACAATGTTCACGACGCCGTCGGGCACGCCCGCACGGCGGATCAGCTCTGCGATCGCAAAGTTGGTGTAGGGCGTTTCGGCGGGGACCTTGACGACGCAGGTGCAGCCGGTCGCGATGACGGGTGCGAGCTTGCGAGCGGGCATACTGGGAGTCAGCTCCAGTTCGTGCGTTTCTTAGCTTCGCTTCAACGTCTCTTCAGATACAACAGGACGAGGCGAACCCCGAGAGGCAGGTCTCAGAGCCGTCCGTTTCCCTCTTCCGCTCCTCCCCTCCACCTACTACTGTCCTCTCCTCCCTTTCTCTCTCTTCCTCTCCTGTCCTCCCCCGTCCTCTCTCATCGCCAACCATTCTCCTCGCTTCTCACCCCTCCTCCGTTTCCTCCCGCCGTCCTCCCATCTCTTCCGCCATCCTTCCGCTTCCCTCTCTCTGCTAACCAGCTCTTCACCATAACCATACTGTCCCTCCGTTTCACCACATCCTTTCCAACTCAGTACTCACCCAGCAGGGAAGTTCCACGGCACAAGCAAAGCGCACACGCCAATCGGCTGCTTGATGACAATATTCCGCTGCCCGGCAATAGCAGAGGGGACGACATCGCCATATGTGCGCACAGCCTCGCCCGCAAACCACTGCACGTAGCTAGCAGCATACAGGGCCTCGCCATACGCGTCGCTCCAGCTCTTTCCATTTTCCCACACAATCAAGCGCGCAATGTCCTCTGCGTTATCGATGAATTCTTTGTGCAGGCGCAGCAGCATTTTTTGCCTGTCACCGGGCGTCGTGTGCCGGAACGACTTGAATGCCTTCTCCGCCACGTCTACCGCGCGACTGACATCGTCCTTGTCCATATCCGGAGCCGTTCCTAGGACTTTGCCAGTCGCCGGGTCGGTCACTTCGAAGGTCTTGCCTGAGGACGCGTCGACCCATTTCCCATCCACCCAGGCTTGCTGCTTGAAGAGAGAGGGGTCGTTGAGGCCGAGCTGGAGTTAGCTGGGTCGGAGCTGGACAGCGAGATACAGGAGAAAGCGGGGCGGGGAACGGTGAGACTGTGAGAGACCGAAACTAGAATTGTGAGGTTGTGTCTGAGGGGGATTGTATCGGTGAGGTAGGTGGGGAGGTGGGGAAGAGGGGGGAGTCTGCCATCGCTGGGCTAGGCGCAATGGAGCTGCTGTCGCTGTCGCCCGACCATGCCGCGGTGAACGGCTGGACACCCACGCCGAGCACGCCAAGCACGTCCCGAGGACATGATAGCAAAGTGATCACGGTCATATTCCGGCCCAGTGCCAGTCAGCGCCGAGGTCCGAGACCGCTAGAGTCTTAGACTCGCGCTAGTCTCGGCCATCGCTGGTCCGAGGGGCTTGAAGTCCAGGCAAGCTCGCCAGCGGGGGCCAGCGGGGGCCAGCGGGGGCCAGCTGGGCCAGCTAGCCTCGGACCTGTCTCAGATTCCCCCCTGTACGCTTCAAAGGCTCAACGGACGTACGGACCGTTGATACTAGCTCCAAGCCGAGGACGCAGCCTCGGCGCTCTCAATCCTTTCGTGCCCACCTGCAGAGCCTTTCCGTATCCTAACCCCCTTACATCCCCCCTCACAATTTCCCAAACCAAACCAAAGAAAGCACACTCACAGGATTCTCAGCACTCGTCTTGGGCTGATGACTAACTCCCCTAGCATACTTGGGCACCCCGACTCGGGCGGTGGTGGTCGGGAACGGAGCCGCGGTGCGAATACCCCGCATGCCCGCAGTCACGCCGGCCCGAGCAGTAGCCCGGGTAGCTGTGCGAAGGGGAGTAGAGGGCGCGAGTCTCCGAGCAGAGCGAGCAGAGAGGCGGATCATACCCATACTGTCTTCGTTTGTGTTGACGTTGAGTGAGTAGATGTAGAGAGCTGAGTGAAGAGAGGATGACAAATGTATCTATCTGATGGGGGTGGAGAGGCCGGTGGGAGATTGGCGTCATATGCAACCCAGAGGGGAATGCGGAGTCCCCACATGCACCTTCGTTCGGCTGACTCCGCCTGCCCCCGCCTAGTCAGTCTATTTGACCTTTCTCGCATCTATCTGACCTTTCCTCTCGTATTATCTGACTTTTCTGTCCTCATATTCTGACCTTATGTAGCGAGACTTGTTCCGCATGTAAAATCTGATTGGAGAGCATTATGTGTCCATTCAGCGAATCGTGAGTAATGCTTGAAGTGCAGATGGCATGCCGGATTTGGCGAGAAAGGCGACCCACCTTCAGTGGAGGCGATAGTGGAGGTGATTGTTCTGAGGAATCTATTTCCTTTCTATACTCGACCTGCTCATAACGTCTGCGCGATGTCCCGCTGTGCTGATTGCGGGATCTTCCTTTCCTTTGCTCCCAACTGACCATACCCCAACCCTGGGAGACGACTGACTGCGCTGCAGCTGAAGCTGCGGCTGCTGACCAGGTTGCCATTGCTGCCTCGGTGCTGCCTCAGATACAGCAGCTGCGGCGCCTGCTTCGCGCCCGAGCCCCCCTTCGTCACCGCCAGACCAAACAATAGCCACAAGTCTGTCCCCACCATCTCCACCGGACACCGCTATAGCCTACATTAAACGCGACATACAAAACCCGGGAGAAGACTTCTACTTGGCGTACTGCTGGGTCCACTGCCTGGCCTCTGCGATGGCGGCGTTCTGGTCCTCCTTCCACGCCTGGGCGACGTCGTTGGCGAGCGGGTCGTCGGGGTTGGGCGCGCCGAGCAGCGCCTGGATCGACAGGAGCACGGTCCGGATCTGGAGCGCGGGCGACCACTTGTCCTTCAGAATGTCGAGGCAGATACGGCCGAGCTTGTCTGCAGTGTTAGCTTTGAACAAGCTGTGGTAGCTTACCAATGTTGGGGTGGTAGATCTTGGTCAGGAAGCGGACCTTGGGAGGGTTCATCGGGTACTCCTCCGGCAGGAACAGCTCGAGCTTGAAGATACCGCCTGGCGTCAGTTGGGAACCACAGGATCAGCTCACCTTCATACGGGGAAGACTCCGGACCGGCAATCGTCACGTCAAAGTAGCGCAGGTTGTCGTCGTGGGGAGCGGCGGTGATGCCAGGGGGCGAGTCGGCCATGAGGCGCTCGGTTTCCTGCGTGACCAATGCGACATGGGTGATGGTGAAGGTCGTGAATCGGGCAGCGATGGAGAAAGAGCAAACACAGAGTCGATCCGCAAGGTATGGTTAGCGCGGTGAGGGTTGTGAGCCACGCGATCCGATATTGTTCAGCGACGAGGCGCAATTGTGTGTGAGACCGATGCGTGGAGGAAGCGATTCAGCAGCAGCGTTGTGATCAGGAACATGGCGTCAGTGTCGTGTCTCTTCCGCGGCTCCGAGGATTGATGAGAGAGCTCACCTTGAGGATACGCTTTGGGAGACCGGACATGGTGAGCGGCGTCGGGGAAGTGGATCTAGTGAGTCTATCGATGGAGGGAAGAGCCAGAGAAGGAAGTCAACAGCGGTGATCGGTGGCCACTGGACAGAGCGCTCGGTGCTGTGCGGTGCGTCAATGGTGCGACTGATTACGTATGGAGATGGTCGGCGGAGAGTGAGGATCAGTCCGCGATAGTGTGAGTGTTCGCGTGGGAATGGTTCCGAAATGCGGCGGTGTCTGCGGAAGAGGGTACACGTGACATCATAGGGAGTGGGTGTGGTGGTGGCGGGGGATTGACCAACCGGACGCGTGTGTGGATTTGCGGGGTAAAGTAGCTCGATTGCACCCGTTGGGTAATCGTGGCTGGGTATGTGGTGCATGTGGTGGGGGAGACGCAGGGAAGACAGCGAGGGCGCAGAGTGGTCAGAGTGGCCTCTGACCAAGGGACGGGGGTGACGTCTGGCGGATCCAGACACCGCGATAGGACATTCTCTGCCGGTCTGTCTCGTCCCAAAGGAGGTCGCCTGCCAATGTCCACCCAGCCCAAAATCACTATCAAAGACACACACTAGCGCACTCATTTTTCCACACTTCTTCCTTATCGTCTCACTCCACTGCACCGCCGAGTCTTACGCTTGCCACTGACTCGCCTCGAACAGTGCTGCATCCAAGCAGCACATACGCCCGACTCACCCCTTGCACCGGTACCCCGTCGTTCAACACTCTGGTTCAACATGGTTGTGACGCCCGACCACCGGCCCATCGACGCCACCACTCCCCTCTCCCCCCTCCTCCTCGCTTCGGCCTCTCCCTCGCTGCACACGACTGGCAGCTCGGCGAGCCTGACCGGAAAGGTCGCTCATCCTGTCGCCCCCGTCCTCCGCAAGCACAGCACCGGCTCATTCTCCAAGCTCTCCGAGTTCCAGCTCGACGGCCCGGCCATCTCCAGCTCGGGTGCCTCCCAGGAGGACATCAACAACTCGCTCGGTCTCCCTCATGTCAACCTGAGCATTGACGCGAGGTGAGTAACGGGCAACACAGCCTATACTGACCGCAGCGAGTGGCGCCACCCCATCTTCAAGACCAAGGTCCTCTCGATCCTCCGCCGTCTGCGCGTCCCCATGTGGACGCACCCGAAGCTGACGCCCTCCAACATCCACCTGCAAAAGGTGTCTGGGGCGCTCACCAACGCCGTCTTCTTCGTCACATTCAACCCCCGCCACGAGCCGACCTCGCCTTCCATGTCGCCGATGCTCACCCCGACCATGCCGGCGCACGACCCTGACCACCCTCCCATCCTCACCGAGGAGGACTACCCCCAGACCCTGCTTCTGCGCATCTACGGCCCTTCGTCGGACCAGCTGATCTCCCGTGACGAGGAGCTGCGGATCCTTCACACGCTCTCGACGCAATACGGTCTCGGTCCGAAGATCTACGGAACCTTCCTGAACGGTCGTGTTGAGCAGTTCTTCCCGTCGCGTGCCCTGCACGCCGAGGAGCTGCGTGTTCCCCGACTCTCGATGGGCATCGCTCGCCGTATGCGCGAGCTGCACTCGGTCGACCCCGTCAAGCTCGGCTTTGACCACGGACGCGAGAAGCAGCCCATGATCTGGACCAGCATCTCGCAGTGGATGCCGGCAGCCGAGGAGATGATCAACTCCCTGACTGCGCTTGGAGGTACCTGGGAGATGCTCGGCGAGCAGATCGCCTTCCACCGCTTCCGCGAGGAGCTCGAGGCGTACCGCCGTTGGGTCACCAGCAAGACTAGCAACGACAAGGAGGTTGTTTTCAGCCACAACGACACCCAGTACGGCAACCTGCTGCTCCTCGACGCCGAGCTCCCCAAGGGCGTCCCCGACCACCACCGCCTGATCGTTGTCGACTTTGAGTACGCCTCGCCCAACTGCCGTGGCTACGACATTGCCAACCACTTCCACGAGTGGCGTGCCAACTACCACCACCCCACTCTCTCGCACTCGCTCATGCCCCACGGCAACTACCCTACCCCCGAGGAGCGTGAGCGCTTCTACCGCGCCTACCTGTCCGTGGAGATGAGCCAGGGAGAGGAGCTCCTGCGGGACCTCGCCGATGTCGACGCCGCCAAGGTTGCGCAGCTTGAGGAGGAGACGCTCAGATGGTCGCCCGCCTCGTCTGCCTTCTGGGCCCTTTGGGGTATCATCTCGGCTGAGGAGCAGGTCAGCGGCATCGCCAGCGAACTGCAGACCGGCCAGCCGTACACTCCGGACTGGGACTATCTCTCCTATGCCATCGAGCGCTTCCAGATGTTCCGCGACGACGCTCGCCGACTGGGAGTGTTCCCTTAGACGTGACTTCAACTCACGAAACCGCAAAATCAAAATCTAAAATCATATCATATCAGAGTATCCGGCATTTGTCCAACGTTGTTTATCATGATCAAGCCGTTCATCACGGCCCGGATACCGGTCAGCCCGACCTTACCGTTCACCACAGTATAGTTGACTGCGGACAGGATGAGGCCAGACCTTGTCGTGACTGTATGTACTTTTTATAGGTCTATTGGGATGCCACTTCAACATGTCATTGTATCAACAACCGTGGCCCAGCTATCTGCTTCCGTCGCCACCGCCACCCGATCGAGGTCTTGCGTCAGTCGACTTTCCAACGTCGCCACCCGACAACACACCATGACCGATCATGCTCACGGCGCATAGCGACGTCTACTCGATCATCATTGAAGTTCACCCCGACAACGAAAACCCTGAGCAACCAGGTCAAGACTGGCGACTAGGCGATATCTCGGTCGATTGGGTCGACCTCATCCGCGAGAAGAGTTCGGACCGCGCCTGGCAGGAGGACGATCAGCACCAGGAGGAAGAACGCATTGAGAAGCATCCGACCGTTCCCGGCGCAATGACCAAGACCACATCCAAGCCGTCTCCGCGCCATCGTAAGAAGAAGCGTCCAGAGTCTATCGACGACCTCTCCCTGCAACCTCTCCTGGCTCATATCGCTGGCCCGAACCCCTTCGAAGCGTCCTCTTCATCAGGCGTCACCCATGTCGGCAACGGTGTCGTCCACTTGTTCAAGCATGCTCCTCCGGCGAGCCTGATTGCGCGGCTGGAGGGCCAGAATGGCGAGGGAAGCTCTGGTCCGCCAGACCCCGAAGGCTGGGCTGACGAGAATGCCGAGGGCGGTGACGGCAGCCTGATCGCGATCTTGGCCGTGCCCGCGTGGATGCGGCCGGCGGATCTCATCGAGTTCCTGGGAGGATGGGCAGGGTGTCTCGAGGGTGTGAGAATGATCAGGTGGGTTACAACCATCGTTCCTGCTAACCAACAGAGAAGCAACGACCCCCAACCGGTCAATCGTACTGCTCAAGTTCAGGGATCCGCTGCAGGCGTCCGACTTTATGGTGATCTTTGCTGGCAAGGCGTTCTCGACACTCGAGCCGCGAGAGACCTGTCACCCCATCCGCGTGCACCACCTCGTCCTGCACCGCTTGGACGCGAGCGACATCGCCGTTCCCGCATTCCCGCCAAGCGTGTACGAGAGCCGCGCCAAGGCGCTGCCGAAGCAGCTGAAGGGCGTGCCAAAGTCGAATGAGCTCCCGTCGTGCCCCGTGTGTTTGGAGCGACTGGACTACGGTCACGGGACTCGTGACGCTTCCCTGCGCGCACACATTCGACTGCGACTGCCTGCGAAAGTGGGGAGATTCGCGCTGCCCCGTGTGCCGCGTCTCGCACCTGCTGCTCAGTAATGCGCAGGGCATGGAGCAGAGCGAACGCGACCGCATCACCCGCGCGACGCAGTGCGGGATGTGTGACTCGGCAGAGCACAACTGGATGTGCGTGGTGTGCGGCTCGGTCGGGTGCGGACGGTATTCGAAGGGCCACGCGCGGCGGCACTGGAAAGAGACGGGGCATGTGCTCGCGATGGAGCTCGAGACGCAGCGTGTGTGGGACTACGAGGGGGACAATTATGTGCATCGCCTGATCCAATCGCGAGCGGACGGTAAGCTCGTCGAGCTCCCCAGCGCGTCGAGCCTGACTGCCATGCCCTCGCGGCCTCTACCGCTGAACCGACCGCTGGACGAGGACCCGGTCTCCCGATCCGCAACGCCGGTGACGAACACCCCGCCCCGCGCACACGGCACGCCAGGCACGCCCACCCACCAACACACCGACAGCGGGGGCGGGGGCCCGAGCTCAAACGACGTGGAGAAGATCTCGACCATCGAGTCCATAACCCTCGAGTACTCGTACCTCCTCTCGTCACAGCTGGAGGCAATGCGGCAGCACTACGAGGCGCAAATGGCCGAGCAGGCGTCGCAAATTGCGCAACTGCGGGAGGAAACCGCGCGCGCAAAGTCGGTGCAAGACCAAGTCTCGGCGGCAGAGCAGCAGCGCGCTGCCGCAGAAGCCGCGCGCGAAAAGGCAGAGCGGAAAGCCGAGAAGGCGCTCGAGATCAGCCGCGCCCTGCAGCAGAATCTGGGCAGCGAGCGGGCCATGTCCCAAGGTCTCAGTCACAAAATCACAAAGCTGACGAGCGACCTGGAAAATGTGCGCGCACAGCGCGACGCGAAGAGCAAGGAGGTCGAAGAACTGAACGATACGGTGCGCGACCTCATGTTCACACTTGAGGCTGGGATGAAATTGCAGGCTGAGGGGGAGGAGGGCGGGGACCTTGTCGTCAAGGGCGGCAAGGGGAAGAAGAAGAAGAAGTAGTTTCGACGGCCAGCTCATGCATTGTTGTATACCGTTGTGCGATCGGGTGTCTTGAGTCTCCCGGGGCCGGGTGCCACGGCCCGTGCCTCGTAATGTCGTAGGAGGCGTCCTCGGAGCGGGAGCAAAATGGCACTCCGCCGAGCCGAGGCCGCGAGCCCCGGCTCGTCCATGTTGTCATTTCGACCGTCGATCTCTGTCTCCCTCGCGATCCCTCCCTTCTAGAGCGTACTCATCACAAAAGTCTAGCCATGTCCGTCCCTCGTATCGCCGTTCGACGCTTCACCACCTCTGCCCGCCCCTGAACCAGCAGGGCTCGCAGGGCTCGCAGGGCCAGGTGTACACCCCCAAGGCGGAGAGCATGCCCGCCCCCCCTGCTTCGGGACAGGCGTACACCGCCCCCGCGTCCACGCCTAAGCAGACGCAGCAGGTCGGCACGGCTGGAAACGTGCCTGTCGAGAAGCCCGTTGGTGGTCTTCGGTAAGTCAGCTATGGAATCGAGCTGGGCGAGCTGGGAGGGGGCCAGAGCTGGAACTGCCGAGCTCCTCGAGCTCCTCGAGCTCCTCGAGCTCCGCAACTTGCATGACGACAGTAGCTGACGCCTTTCCCTTCCCTTTCGACGTGGGATCTCATGATATAGTGGCGGGTAAGTTTCCTTATTCACCAGGAGTCAAGCTGACAGACAGTATTGTCGGTTTCGTGAGTCGCCTGACCACCCCTCTTCAATATCGACAACCCCCCTTCCCAAGCTTCATCACCCACGCGATCCCAGCTAACCCCCAGCTCCTCGGCTTCTCCGCCGCGACCGGCCTGGGCATCTACTACCTGCAGCAGGACACGAAGGAGGCGCAGGGTCTCCTGACCTCGAGCGTCGAGGAGCTCACGCGCGACACGCAGCGCATCACGACGCACCTGGACCGTTTGCAGACGACGGAGAAGGACCTCGTCGCGCTGAAGAAGGAGGCGGCGACGAAGGACGATCTCGTCAAGCTTAGGGCGGAGCTGAAGAAGGCTTGTGTGAGTAACTTTGGATCGATGAGTTGTGGGGCTGGATAGGCATTCATTGAAGGCGGGCCGTGTCTGGGCTTTAGGAACTTGTGCTCGGTCGCGCACTTTCTGATCTAGAGGCTCTGGATCCCCCTCGAACCGGTCTGCTATCTCCGAAACAGCTCGAGGAAGCAATGGAAGAGACATGACGGGATCGGCCGTTGAAAGGCGGACTGGGGTGGACCCACTCATTCCCGCAAACCAGTCCTTCTAGTGAATTCAAGGAAAGAAGGACGAACAAGGCGCAGTGGATAGCGGCAGAACCCACCCATTTCCCACAAGCTTGAGCCCCACTGACCATCACAGGACTCGCTCCACCTCGAGAACCTCGACCTCCGCGCGCACGTCTGGGGTATCGAGCAGGACCTGCAGAAGGTCGCCAAGGAGGGTGAGTGGTAGCTCTGGAGAGGCTTGGACGGGGCGGAGGGGGTGTTGTTCGGAGTGAACAGTGGAAGGAAGCCTGGGACTCTCCGGACGTCCGGAAGTGCCAAAGTGCGACTAGGAGGAGCGATGACCAGTCTTGGTCGAGTTGTCACGTCCTACTCGCTCACTGCGTGCGCGCTGCGTGGGGATGAGACATGAGACAGCAATGGCACTGGCGGTCGTCCCAGACGCTCCAGACACGACGCGAGGGGCAAGTGGAAGTCGTAAGCAGCATTTAGCGTGACTTTTTGTTCTCCTCGGCTCAAGAGTACGAGAGTACGAGAGTACGAGGGTCCGTGACGATCCTCCTCATGTTGCGGGTTATGTCACCGTCTATCTGGCGAGGACGAGAACTGCCCATGACGCATGACGTGTGTAGGCGCTGGGCTCTGGAGATTTCGAGCGGTTCGCGAGCGGTTCCGGATCTCTGGCACTGTTCTGGGCTCTGAACACTGTGCGCTGTGTGCCGTCGAGCGACTGGTGAAGCGGCACAGGGGGTGAACAAGGTTTGCACAGCGGGACGCCTCCCTCTGCTGTTTGTCTGCCAGAAACCTCCCCACCTCCCTCCGTTTCGAGCGTCCACCATGCTACTGAGTCCAAGCCACGACTTCGGGCACGATGACAGACAGCGCTGACAGACTCAGAATCCATCAGGATCTAGATCAAAGCTTAGACAAAAACAAACAGACAAGACTTCGTATGCAAAAAAACAACGAACAAACAGATGCACTAATGTGTCGTTGCATCATGCCAATGCTCTTGTATGCCTGTGCCTATTCGGGCTCCCTCCCGTGTCCGTGTGTATGTGTATGGGCAAGAGCCAGAAGTAGTGAGCGTCGCACTTCTTCTGGAACTGAGCACTTGGCGCGCTTGCGCGCTTCGCGCGGCTTCGACTGTTTCATGTCTCAGAAGTGAATGGATCGCCGGCCCGTAGGCCGTAGGGCTGTGGTTGCAGCGTGAAGGATGCGCTGACGACGCCCAAACGTCATCACACTACTGCATGTGTTTTCTGGAGTCTGGAGCAGCCCGGGCGGCTCGCTCGTCGCAGGCTGTGCCGACGTCTCTTGTGTTCGACACATGAGGTCGAGGGTCCCGACGATCCCGACCTGGCTTGACCTGGCTGGACCTGGCTTGACCTGGCTTGACCTGGCTTGGATGTGGTCGGCGTGTTCGGGGGAAAGTCCGGAGTATCCTTTTAATTGCTACTGACTGACATCGGAGGCCCGAGGCCCGAGGCCCGCGAGGCACTCCGCACATTCAACGCTCTTGGTCACCTTGGTCAACTGCGTGCCATGTTTTGAGCCGCATATCATACCGCGTCTGATCGAGGCATGTGCCAAAGAGTGGAAGAGCACATTGGAGGCTTCAGAGTTTCATCGAACGGCGCCAAGCTCATTGAAGCTTTGAAGCTTACCACACTCTGAGCAGCTCTGAGGGCGGTGCACACCCCCTCCCTTTCGTCAAAGTGATTTGGAAAGCAAATCAATGACTAAAGTGCAATGTACCTTGCTGTTCGTGGGCCCTTGCTGATCCCTACGTCGTTCAGTAGAGTTACCGAGACACGGCACACGGCACACGGCACGCGCGGTACTTTGGCGGGCGGCTACTGGCCAGTTCTTGCTGGTCGGACTCGGTCGAACGGAAAGGGACCGAGAGGGTCCGAGAGGGTCCGAGAGGGAGTGTCAGAGATGCACCTCCATACTGCAGCGCGGTTGGAGCAGAGCCTGCAGAGCTCGCGGCGCTCGCAGAGCAGGCAGTAAGTTCGAAACAGATGAAAGATGATCACGCGGACGCAATGCAGCAGCGCGGTACAGCCCCTTGTACGCCCCCTGAAACGCGCAGAGCTTATTTCTCCAGCTCTGCCAGCTTTCGACGTGTCGCGCGTTCTCGCCAGCGATGACAGGGAGCGCAAAACTGCAGAGACTTCATGCTTTGATGAAAGAACGCTCCCAGCCTCTGGGACATCACGCAGCGGTGTTCTGCGTTACATTACAGCACTTCGTCACTGAGCACTCGCATTCCTCACTACTTGTCACAGTGTTGGACTAGGACATCATGTCATGTGTGGATTTCTCGTACCCACGCAAACACGACTGGCAAACTGTGACCCCAGTTTTCAGACTTGTGAATAGCTTGGGTTTCTAAGGAGCATGACGAGTTCTGGCCCAGAACATACATCAATAGCAATCAAGTGGCCCAACGTGCTGCGCGAACGCCACTTGCTGCGCCCGCATATTGAAGATATGTGGTGAGCGGTGCAGCGGCCTGCGCCATACACCGGATGCCAGGGCCAGGGAATGGGAACGCCTCCGGCACATCGGTGCACACCGGCATCCTCTGCACGTCTGCACTTCTGCACGGCGAGCCAGGGGAAGATCCCTGCGATCCCTGCGATCCCTGCGATCCCTGGCTGCCAGACTTGTCCCAATGGATGAAACGCGCCGTTTCGACTGACCCTCGACTTCCCCTGGCCCATCTTGACATCTCTCGTCTTTGTATCGCGCACGCACGCGTATTATGGTTTTTGCTTCTTGCTGCACGCCCGCCGTCCTTCCCTTGGGACCCAGCCCTTGACTCAGGGCGCGCAGATGAGCATCCCCCCTCGAACCCCCCTTCTTTCGACGGCTCCGCTGCATCTTCGTTCTGTCACTGCGCACAACTGCGCGGATGCGCGGACTCTACAGCTCCACAGGATCCACAGACAAGCTCAGCTGCTACCTCAACTCCGAAGCTGAGGTGAGCTGCACCAAGGCCGCGGGCTGGCGACACCGTGAGCACGTCCTCTCTGCAAGAGTCACATCTCTTATTGTCTCCCTCTCATCTGTCTTCGCACACTCCATCTCACTCCCTCGCATCGAAACGTCCCCCCTACGACCCGGCCCTCCGGACGCACTCCCACCCCGACCTGTCGAGCTTGCCCGAGCTTCGTGAGCGGGGAGTACGACTCGGACACGAAACACCCCTCACACCAACCTACTGCTGGTTCAGTTCCATCAGACGACGCAACGACGGACCGACGATCTCGCGCAAACGAAACATCACGAACCCCATTGAGCGATCTCTAGCGACATTATATGACTGCAACAGCCTAGCCTCTTCATTGTCGCTTGTTCAATATTTCCTCGTCCCTGTACATTGCATTTCTCATCGTCTACTTCGAGTCCACCTGACCTCGCCAGCGGGTGCCACCGGTGACAGCCTTCGCCATCTAGCGACTTGTGATTACACTACCGCGTGCACCGCTCAGACCGCTGACCCTCGATTCTCATTCCAGCCAAAGTAGTCTTCTTGAGTGCACTGGCTGAAGCAAGTGAGACGCTATCGGCGCCGCCACCGCACAGATCGCCCCGTGCAATTCAGTCGGTTGTCCGGACTTGTCGCTTTCGGCGCAATCGTCATTGTTGATTGTCGACGACCTTGCGCGACCTGCGCGACCTGTGCGTCCTTGTTGCCCGACCTGGAATCGGTACATCGGTTCATCGGTCAAGCCGGTCAAGCAATCCCAAGCCCGCAGGCCCCAGTTGGACGCCTTCTCCCCTGAAGAGCAAATACGACTGCGACATAGTACCGGCGAACGGTCAGCGGCCAGCGGCGAGGATCCCGTACGCCGCCGCATGGCTTAGTTGGTGGTTCCTGCGATTCCTTCGATCTCCTGTGTTGGTCACCTTGACATTCCCTTTCCCTGCACCCCGTTGAATGGATCGGAAATCGATAACGCGATAACTGCATTCAGTCAATCGCCCAAAGACTAGGGTCTCCTTAATCGCTAGTACTGCGCCAGTCGCGCCCTCCCCAAGCCCAGCGTTCCCCCCGTACTTACGCTTTTCAGTGCTTTTTCGCGCGCTGTCGGGGAGCACAGCTGCACAGCGTGCACAATTCCTGCAACCCGCACCAAGCGAGCGAGCGAGCGCACTTGGCCGAAAGAAGGTCCAACGGCACCCCGGCACCCCCGGCACACTGCTCCCAGTCCACGATCGCTCAGTCACGAGGGTGCGAGCACCTGCTTCGCTTTTCATCATGTCATCTTCTCTGAGCTCGTCTCTGAGCTCCTCCCTCTCCACCGGAGCACTCAGTGCCCATCCCTTCCTCAACATGGGCGCAGCCAACAGCAGGTTGCAGCAACAGCAGCAACAACAACAGTCCCATCAACAAGACCCTCCACATCTGGACTCGCATCATCACTCCTCCGCCAGTACCGGGCCCAATGGCGATCTCGGTCTCAAAATCCCTCCGTTCCAACACCTGGAATCCCTACCCCACCCCTTGCGCACTCCGACACAGGCATCCGTATCAGCGTCCCAGCAGCAAGAGTACTTCCCCGCCCCGACATCACACAGCCCGCCAAACGTTCCGCCGCCGCCAGCCAAGCTGCGCAGGCAGCAGTCTGACCCCAGGCGCCCAGTGATGTCAACCCGAGGGTCTTCCTCCGAGTCTCAGCGCAAACAGCAGGTCGCCTTCCCTCCCTCACCATCAGCGGATGAGCCATCTGCTACGACAATGTCCGGTACGCTTCCTCGCGGGGTCAAGTTCCCGGACACTCTGCCCGTGCCCCTTCCCCGGAAAGCTTCGACGAAGAACACTGCGAGCAGCACGGCACACTCCCGTAGCATGAGCGTCCCGGATCTGGAGGACCCCGCCGGACAGCAGCCGCGACGCTTCGGTATCGTTAGGAAACTGAGTCTGAAGCGCTTCGCTGATCGGACCACCTCGACGTCTGGACCGGCCCCTCCACCGGGCAGCACGTCCAACGGTCACACGGGCAATGTCGCTGCGTCCATGATCCCCCGATCACTGAGTCGGAAGGGCAGCTTGTCCAGACTCGGTTCATCCAGGGGTGCGCAGGCTTTGAAGCGATCCGCAGCAACAATGGAAGGCCCCTCGACGTCATCAACACAGCCCCTGCCAGCACCGCTGACCCAACCGATGGCCAGCGCAGGAGTCTCGACCGCTCGTCCGGTACGACAACCGACACGGTCTGCATCGCATATGACGAATCTCGGCAAGGGTATCGGCGTTCCATCCCCTGTGCTGGAGGGTTCGGAAGTGATGGAGACCCCTCGGACGCCTCCGGCTCCGTCCCTGTCACCGGAATCTGCTGCGCGGCGAGCCAGGGCGACGCGCGACACGAGTTTGTCACCGCGCAAGTCATCATTCCGCGGGGTCCGGGCGGCTTCATCGCCGTATTCCAGACAGACCCATCGTCCGGCTGCGCCGTCGTCGAATGTGTCATCGTCGTCAAAGTCTTCGGTCAGTCCCGCGCAGCGTGCTGCGCGCGAGTGGCGCGCCAAGCTCGTCAACCTCAGTTCGGCATCTCCCGAGCATACGGACGAGGAGGTCGCCGCCACAGGGTTCGGTGGACCTCGCCCCCCGCCTCGTCCCAAAACAGCAGCCGCAGGCAACAGTAACCCCTCGACGCCGCTCTCCGAAGTTCCCCCATCGAGGCCCCGCCACCGGCGCCGCAGCTTAGACAGCCTTGTCAGCGTCTCGACCAAATCTGGCAGGCATCCCAACGTCAGCCCGGCCTGCTCCGCGTTCGGCGACGCATTCGACGAGCAGCGCCTCTCCATCTGGTCGGCTGACTTTGATGCCCTGTCCCTGCACGCCGCGTCCGTCAGTTCGAGCACGGTCTCCAGGGTCTCGCGTGGCACAAACAAGTCGATGAAGTCGAACAAGTCCAAGGCGTCAACGAACCTGACCATGGTGCCCGAGGTCCCCAAGATTCCGGACCACATGCTCTCGCAGCTGTCCTCGCAGTTGTCCTCCATTTCGGGTGTCGAGCCGCTCGTCCCGACTTCCGCAGTTGGCCAAGGCGCCAAGTATGACAATGGCTCGATGCTGTCCAGGTCTACTCGCGGACACAACCGGTCCGCGACTGAGGGCCAGTCGACCGTCGTTACGGCCGTCACGGCCGCTACTTCCTTCCCGACCGTCTCCGAGGTGACGGCGTCTACCGAGTCGTTTTCGACGCCCGAATGGCAGCCTAGCGAGCGCTTCGTGGCGGTCCGCAGCTCGGCGCCCAACATGTCGCCCGTTCTCGACGTGGAGGAGGAGGAGCCGAAGAACCTACGCGGCCTCGGCCTCAAGATGGACCTGACCTCGCTGAAGGCAAAGCCTCTACCTCCACCTCCTACGACGGCGCCGTCGACGACTTCCCCGCCCTCCCTTTCGCTAGAGGATGGCGCGCAGTCCAATGAGTCGCCGTACCCTTCTCTCTCGACCCGGCGCACCTCTACCCCTGACCACACCGAGTACCTTGTCACCGCTACGTGTGCGACGGTGGACGAGAAGCTGATGTCTCGCGCCGGCCCCGTGGTCGTCTCGGACAGCGAGGGCGAGTCTGTTCCCGAGCGGAAGCAGCAGCGGCCCATGGGCCCGCGGAAGAACTATAACGGACACATTAGGGACGCGTCCGACGTCAAGATGGCTATCGCGCTTGCGCAGCAGTCGCACAAGCTGACCCGCTCCCAGTCTTCGGACAGCAGGAGTAAGGTGTACGTCGGCGGTCCGCGCGAGCCCACCCGCCCCTCGCCGAGTGTGTCCCGCTCCACGTCCCAGACCCTCGTCAATGTCGCTATCCCGCGCACAACGTCGAAGTCGGCGTCACTCGACCACCACGGGCCGGAGCTGCTCAAGGCATACGACCTGACGCCTGGACTCGAGGACGGTGGTAGGCGCCCGAGGAAGAAGGGCATGCCGATGCAGGACCTGCGCAAGTGGCTCGAGACGAGCCAGTAGACTGCTGAGGGTTGGAATTGAGAATGCC